TATATAAGTTGAAATTTCAACTTAAATTAACAAATCAATGGTATTTTAATGCTTAAAATCAATGTTTTAGTACGTATACATGACAGGAAATTTCAATTAATTTATGTTAAGGAGCTCGTGTACGTGGGATTCGTTTATAAATCTATATGAATAATCCGAAGAAAAGGTGAAGCGTTTTTTAATTCATATAGATATTGTTATATAGAAAGCTTGTTACTAATTAACTATATATATTACTGTTAATTTCGTTATCGAACTCACTTTTTATTTTCTTATTTCGTCTCATGCACGATATTTAATATTACGCGATATCAAAAGCAATCATTTTGTTGTATATTATCAAATTCTTACAAGATTATAATAACAAAGCTTGCACTTCCTTACATGTCGGAGCTCCCTCCTGTAAAATATTTGCATCTATAAATCGGGACATAATATAAATGTTACTTTTATCTCCATATACAGATTGAATTTTTTTTTATATAACTTTGACGCTCTGTCTCTCCGTTTGTTATTGTGATAGTTAATTGATACTTAACATTTCAACTATCGATGTTTATTACAAATTTATTTTTCATAATCTCTACAAAACTATGATAAACTTAAGTACTTAAAAAAGAATTTAATATTTTAGCCACTACAATAAAAGTTTACAAAATAATATGACAACTATATCCATTATATTCTCTGTTTCTTTTTCTGAAGAAAAGAATCATCAGTTTTTGTAAGCCAATAAACTAATTTATTTGTACCAGTGGAGTAGTATTAACTACTAACCAATTAACCAAAATAATTTTTTTTTTTGAAACTTACAGTTATGGTTGTAATCGTGATACTACTTTCGTCCCATGTCTGTATTCAATTTTGGTCATCATCCGTTTTTTTTTCTTCGGCTCGTTCATCAACCGTTTTTTTGCTATTCTTTTTATAATTTGAAAATTAGTTTTCTTCTATTAAAAATATATTGCAAAATGAATCAAATGTTGTAGGAGAACAGAGGATTGTTTCTATTCTATTCAAAATATATTGCAAAATGAATAAAATGTTGTAGGAGAACAGAGGATTGTTTCTACCATCGATTTAATCATCTAAATAAGTAATTAAGAACCATAATCAACGCCCGCAGAACATAAACAAATATTAATAAGAAGATTATGGTTGTAATTTAGCTTAATTAAATAGTCCAAATGCGTCGTGCTTTGATGCTTAAGTTGATGTTAAGAGAATCGTTGACATTTTGGCACCGAGTTCTCGAGGCATATGCTCGTTTCAAAAGAAGATAAAAGATAATTCTTAATTAATAATTCTAAGTAAATCGCTGTCCACCACATGACAACCTCGGTCCTCGGCTGTGGTCCATTCTTTTCACCTTCGTTTTTTTCTTTCAATATATAAATAATCTTGGGTGGTTCGTATAATTACAGAGATAGTGGATCAATTATCTTGATTTAAGAGGTTAAATTGTTTCGTATATAGAAAAAAAAGAAGATGGAACTTTCCAATAGAGTTAAGACTTGGGAGAGTTTGGAAAAGTATACAAGATTTAAACGAACGATGTTAAGGTGATGATAAACACCAACTTGATTGATTAGGTTAGAAAATGACATTTAGTAATATCTTGTTATAAATAATTCAATAGATGACTATATCTTTTGTCTTTTCTACATATAGCAATAAAGATATTGTCTATTGCGACTTTAATATTCAAATAATTCGATCGTTATATGTCCTTAAGCTAGAGTGCCTTTTCATACGAGTTATATATTACATGACATAAGGTCACATATCCAAAAAAGCAAAGCATATATGACAAATTCCGATGTGGATTGACGTAGTAGATTAAAAAGTTATTGGGTACCAAAAAATGCATCGAGCTATGTTTGGTTTTTGTCTAAATTACACGTCCGTCCTTATCTATCATTAATCAACCATTAACTTTTTCATTGCCACTTGTCCAAATAAATTAATATTAATACTACATAGTCACATAGATTAAAATTCGATTTTATAGTGGAAAAAAATTGATTTTCATCGTCATTTAAAGCTATCTCAATTTGATTTAAATACTAATATCTTTATAGAGAATAGGAAAAAGTAAGATATGAACATTAATGAGCATATGCAATTCACTGAGCTAAGAGATTATACACACAAGAGTCCAAATGTCTAGTTATTCTCAAGTTTCTTGATATCAACAAGGAAAAAGGGTTACATAACATGTTAATTAGGCTTTAGTGAGTAATAATGATCCAAGCGAATTAATGGTTGCAGATTTTGTTTTTCGAAGAGTAATTAGTGTAGAATATACTATTAACATGGGTTTCAGAGCCACATGGCCCCTCCTGAGTGGATATCAAGTGAAGACAAAAAAACGTGAGATGCGAGTGGGTAGTCCGATGTCAACCCACCCGGATAGGGTCGGGTCGGGTGTCAGCGGGATCCGCGGGGGATGGGTGGGAAAGGGAAGAATCACGCCCACACGTCCTGGTTTCAGATTCAACCTACATCTCTCTCTTCTTCCCATGCGGTCAAACACACACATTACTCTTTCCTCTCTCTCTCTCTCTCTTCGTGATTACTAAGTTACACGAGCAATATACGAATTCGTATTCTAAATTAATTCAGTGTAGTATGATTTAACATAACTTTTTTTTTTTTTGTATTTGGAATGGCAAAAGAAAAAAGTACAAATAAATTTTGTTTGGATTTTTAACGGGTGATCGCCGAAACGTCCCTAGATCAATGACCTATGTTCATGGACGTTATAATAAAAAAATGTGATTAACATTATAGTTGTATATATATATATATACACTGAGGATTTTGCTCAAGGTTGTTCCCCAATCATCATATCTATAATACCTTGTTTTTTTTTTATCATATTGATTGAATATTATTTTATATATCATGTTTATTATCTGGAATATAATCAAGAAGAAAACAGAAGCAAAGGACCTTTTGGTAGACATTATGAAACTTGTAAGTGATGTGTATAGTAATATATATATGTATACATAATTTTATACGTGGACGCCGTATTATTAATATACAATCCGACATAATTAATGAATCACATAATAATAGTAAGCTAGATATACATTATAAAGAATAAAACTCACTTAATCTAGAGATTGTAATTTTTAATGCTGGTCTAACTGCCCAACGTTTAACAAGCTTCAAACTTTCGGTATCCAACATTAATTAAGTACTATCCGGTAATGAAATTAAAATTTATTAAATCTCTATCCACTTTATTAAGCATGGTAGAATCATAATCGAATCCAGAGCTGTTTATATATGTATGTAACAGCGATTCGTTTTTTTCTTTTTTTCTTTTTACATATAGAATTGAGATTCTTCCTTATCACAGCCTCAATTATTTATTTAGTTATATATATACATGATTCTAAATATTTGTACAAATAATTAAATATTCGTACCAAAAGAAACATTTATATAAGACAAATAAAGTCGAACACACGAAAGTAATGAGATGTGGCACTGTCAAACACTTTTTGAGATGTCTTGTCCTGGAGAATGTTACATTGGTGGGGTGAGAACAAGAACTGAAGAAGCTTACATATTTTGGGAAATTTGACGATTTTGACATATTTTAAGGTAATCATTTTGAGTGGTGAGTTTTTGTTAAAAACCACCCGTTGGTGACCTAAATTATTCCCCATCGTGACGTGAAAGCCACTCTTCTGATCTTCAGGCATAATATCCTGATCAACTGAGTCAATGTTTTAAGTAAATTTAGTTTACATTAAATGAATCCTTCACGCGTGTCAGCGGCTGCACGTGCGAGTGTGAGCTGGTCCTCGCTGGCTGGTCTTGTTACGTGAAGGCATCGCAACCGACGGGGACAAACATCCAACGGCGTCTGACGCGCCTGTCATCTTCTCTTTCCTCCACTTCCTGTCTCTTTAGTTTTTTCCCCAAGCTTCCGCGATTTACGAGCTTGAATCTGCCTTATTATCGACCCAACATACATAATTAATCTCTGAATATTATACTACTACTACTAGTAACTTGCTTTATGTTAAAAAGCCAGAAGAAAAAAAGGAATCGGCTGAAAATAAAAGAATTTAAGTCAGTTCTTCTTGAATTGTCTAATTGGTAACTTTTAAACTGGTGCAACAGTTTCCGGATTTCATAAATTTCAAGGAGTTGAAAATGAACGTTTCCACATTCTTTTAGTTGAATTAGACAATGAATACAAATTCAAGCAGATGTTTTGAAAGTGTATTTTTTAATGAATAAACCAATTGATGTTGTGTAAACCAAACATAATAATACCAAACACAATAATATACTATTTCGTATACATAATTTTCACTTGATGACTAATATCGTGTGATACTAGAATCGTGAAAATAAATGAAAAATGTGATTATTAAATTACAAGTTCGCAGAGACTACATTAAAATTTGATTGAGTAAAATAACAGTATCCATATTTCACAAAATATAATAAGGCGTACAGTATGTATATACATATACAATTAAGTTGTTCTGCTGGATTTTAAGTAAGATATTTAAAACAAGTTCTGTCATTACCCAACCACAATAACGTCTCTTCTTCACAATTTCAGCTTCTTTTCTCCATTTCAAGTTTTCAACTCTTTATTATTTGTCACTAACTTCCATGCACTTTAATTAATCTTAACGTACATAAATATGCAGACACATGTAGTATATTATTAAAAATATTTTTTCTGTTTATAATAACAATTGTATGTATGTGAGAACAAATAAACAATTACATGTATATTTTTTTTCTGTAAATAACCCCAACGAATCCTCTATAAGTATATGCATTATGGAATGGAGTCTTATTCCTTAATGGTTGTTTAATTTAAATTTATCCTATCATACGTACGTAAACAGAAAATTAGTACTGACTCTCCGCAACATAGTATGATTTTATTTTTATTTATGTAAGTGACTTTTAAAGGAAACCAAACTATAGATAAGGTGTTAGGCTTCCTGATTCTACCCATTTTTTTGTACTTACTACTGAAGTTTTTTTCCCATTGCTTTATAAGTTTGAATGTGTGCGTATAAAATTGTTGTTTTTTTCTTAATGTTCTCTACCGTTACATCGAGAAACATAATATAAAAGAGAAGACTCGTGATTGTTGGCTAAAAAATAAGACTCGTGAATTGATAAAATGTAAGTAAAGACCGTACATTAAGGCATGTACCACCTACAAAATCATGCATATATGCATCAGTTTCATCATCAGCTTCATTTAAAAAAAAATTAGTATCATTTTTCATATTTAATATAGACTCGTGCGCTTCAATTTGTGTGTCCATTATAATGTTTGATATAATCTCACGCATCCATGGACTATATCTAGTAAACCTCATCCAATACTTTCATAGACTAAAAAAAACCTTGTATTAGTTTTTCAATTAAAGGGAGACAAAACACAACTGAAAATTACACAACTAAACAAGAGAAATATTAAAAAAAAAAAAAAAAGTAGAGCCCACAAAGTGACCCACACACCGCCCATGCGGCACGCTGTCTATCTAAACCAAAACTAAACCCATTCATCATTCATCTTAACCTTAACCTCCTCCTCTCTGACCTAACCCTAAACCCATCTCGCTCCTCTCCTCTCCTCTCTCTCTCTCCTTCTTCTTACAAGCTTTATTTTCATGTATTACTAGTTCAGCTCCAGTTTCATCTTACATGTATATGACTTTGGTATCTCCCTTCTCTTAATTTCTCTTCTTCAGATTTTTTTCCCCTTTGATTAATTGAATTGAGTTATTGTACATCATCAAGCTAAGCTTCTGGTTTTGAGTTGAGTGGAAGAGAAGAGGAGATTAATTAATTAGGGTTTTCAGTTGTTTACTTTTTCTTTGCTTTTGAATCAAGAAATGGATCAGGTCTCTCGCTCTCTTCCTCCACCTTTTCTCTCAAGAGATCTCCATCTTCACCCACACCATCAATTCCAACACCAACAGCAGCAGCAACAGAATCACGGCCACGAAATCGACCAGCACCGAATCGGTGGCCTAAAACGTGACCGAGACGCTGATATCGATCCCAACGAGCACTCTTCAGCCGGAAAAGATCAAAACACTCCTGGCTCCGGTGGAGAAAGCGGCGGCGGAGGAGGAGGAGACAATCACATCACGAGAAGGCCACGTGGCAGACCAGCGGGATCCAAGAACAAACCAAAACCACCAATCATCATCACTCGAGACAGCGCAAACGCTCTCAAATCTCATGTCATGGAAGTAGCAAACGGATGTGACGTCATGGAAAGTGTCACCGTCTTCGCTCGCCGTCGCCAACGTGGCATCTGCGTTTTGAGCGGAAACGGCGCCGTTACCAACGTTACCATAAGACAACCAGCTTCAGTACCTGGTGGTGGCTCATCTGTCGTTAACTTACACGGACGTTTCGAGATTCTTTCTCTCTCGGGATCTTTCCTTCCTCCTCCGGCTCCACCAGCTGCGTCAGGTCTAACGATTTACTTAGCCGGTGGTCAGGGACAGGTCGTTGGAGGAAGCGTGGTTGGTCCACTCATGGCTTCAGGACCTGTAGTGATTATGGCTGCTTCGTTTGGAAACGCTGCGTATGAGAGGTTGCCGTTAGAGGAAGATGATCAGGAAGAGCAAACGGCTGGAGCGGTTGCTAATAATATCGATGGAAACGCAACGATGGGTGGTGGGACGCAAACGCAGACTCAGACGCAGCAGCAGCAGCAACAACAACAACAGTTGATGCAAGATCCGACGTCGTTTATACAAGGGTTGCCTCCGAATCTTATGAATTCTGTTCAATTGCCAGCTGAAGCTTATTGGGGAACTCCAAGACCATCTTTCTAAATCGCGGAAGAAAAAAAAACAAGTTAGATACGTTCGTTGTTTTTAATTTTATAATCACTCTTCTGTCAAATTTTAATTTTCTTTCTTTGTTTTCTAAAGATAATTGTAGCCTTTGACGAAGATTCGTGGTACTATGAATCGAAGAGAATCGTTTTGGTCATTGGATTGATCGATCTTTTAGGTTTGAGAGGGGGTTTGTGTTTTGCGTTGACTAGGAGACTATAAATTGTTGATTTTCGAGTTTTTATTTTCATGTGTTGGTGATAATTAGCTTTGCGTCGTCTATGCTGAATTATAGTGTGCATAAGTGATTTCATCGAAAGCTTAATTAACAGGTTACTAACAATGTCAAATTGTTATTTTCTTCCGTTATTTTTTTTGGTAAAAGGTCAAATGATTTTCTCAAGTCCGTTACTAATCAAACTCTAAACTCATTTTCCCAAATCACATTGTTTGTACTGTTTCCTGTTCTAAGATTAAACAACGGTTATTTTTCGTTTTAAATTAAACGGCTATATATGTAGATATTTATAATTTATTTAAGTTGGAAGACAAATAAGAAAAAAAGATGATTGTTCCGAGGTTGGTAAGAAGATGGTGAGGCAAGAGGCATAATGACAAGAACAAGACTTGGGAACAAGGTGATTGCATTTGGCAGATACTTATATTCACACATTTGCACGAAAATCTTTTTATATAACATCCAAATATTAAAATCTAAACTGATTTTCATAATCATTTTTCGGTTAGTAAAAAGGGTCGACTAGGAATTGGATTCTTGAACTTGGAACAAGAAAATGATGATTACATAATTGACTAACTCACTTGATCAATAAAGACATAGATTTGATGGAAGTATACATATAGAAATGGTGTGAGTAGGGTTTTGTAAGTGAGAGATGAGAAAGCAATTAAGGTGGGGGAAGAGAAGAGCATTGGATGATGCAACGACGCACGTGCATGTCTCTGAGAGAGAAAGAAGAAAAGTTCCTTTACGAGGCGATGAGTGAAAGTGAGAAGAAAGAGAGAGTTCCTTACTTCCAAAGCCACCTCCCTCCCACTTTGCCCATCATTCATTCTCTCTAACTTTCTTTTTTTCTTTTCTTTTTGCATTTATAACCACACACCACCATTTATTTTATATAACCTATGATTATGAATCTATGATCGATGGGTCATTTTTGTTGTCCTAATTGAACTATTATCAATAACAAGGATCAAGATTTTCAAAAAATGAAAATATTCGCTAGACGCTTGATGCAACAATTTTCATAGTTTTATAAGCTCAATGAGTATAATGAATGACATTGATGACTATCTTTCGTTCTGTCACTATGTCAAGTGTGGAGATGAATTTATTTTGTTTATATAAACGTGGAAAGGAGCTACGTATTCTTAAATAAAATGTTTTGAAGATAGACATTCGGAAAAGCAAACTTAACCAAAGTAATCCGTGATAAACCGTACCAAACCAATCGATATTAGATTCCATTATTAACTATGATTCGGGCTTCGAGGCTTCAATATTAAAGCTATTGGGCTTATAATGATCATAGTGCTTTCCGTTTGGTCACAATATGACAAACTTGGGCCTATAATGGGCTCATAAGCGAGAGGTTTAATTTAAAGTGTATTATTAGACAACAATAACCAGAGTGTATTTTTTGTCGGATTATATTCATGTAGTTAAAAAACAAATTATACAAAGCAGTCACGATGGACCGTTTTTGATAATACGAACGTGCCTTGCATGAATTGTTACTTAGGAAAGGATTAATAATAATCCAATGGAGCCCTTAATCATAATTATTAATCAAATCTTTAGCTAAAAAGTCTTCGAAAGGCTGCTATAAAATCCTTAAAAAAAAAAAAAAAACCAAAAATTGACCTTGACCATAATTTTTGTGCGTATCAATCAGTACCCACGTGGCAATATCTGAGGAGATATTGAGAGAGAGACAAAAACCCTAAGGCGGCATTTTAGTTTCTTTCTCCGTCCATCTCTCGCCGCTTTGTCCTTCTTACAAATCCACATCAATCAATCTTATCGGAATCTTTCCTCATTATGCTCAGGCACCATTACCAGAGCTCCATTGTTTCAGTTCTCTTTTCAACGATTATCGGAAGTATTCACACTATTAGTATCATCATCGTCGCCAACTGATTTTGATTACCAGCTTCGGTGACGTTTTAATACACGACGGTCGTGACTAAGAAGGTTTTGGTAAATATCTTTTTGGTTTGTTTTGAAAGATGGCTGCTTTGAAAGGTTATGGATTGTGTTCTATGGACTCTGCTCTTCAATTCCCCTGTCCAAAGCTATTCAATGGCTACAAGAGGTTCTTTCTCCTAACGTTTTGCTCAAGCTTTTGTATTTTTTTGCTCAATCGAACCTAGGCATCTTAATTTATGGAATTGGCTTGTATAGTCAGTCATTGTCTAGTTGAATTTCAATTGTAGTGTTTTAGGATTGAAAGCTATTAGTTCAATGGTGATTCTGTCGTATACGGTCTAATTGCAATTTGCTATTGAATGATAGTGGTTTGGAATTGAAAAACTATTACTTTCTCTGGCTTATGTATATAAAGAGTTCTGTTTTATAAAGAAATTTGCTTTTTTTTTTTTCATTGAGACATGAACTCCATGATTCATTGAGAAATTGTCCTGCCTATTTGAGTCAAGCTTATGTGGTTTTTAATGTGTTGATAACACAGAAGGAGCTCGAAATGGGTCTCCCCAAAAGCAGCTGTTGTGCCCAATTTCCATCTCCCAATGCGCAGCTTGGAGGTTAAAAACAGGTCTGTGGGATAGAGTTTAGCTTGGACCAGCGTTACATTGTCAATGATTCTAAAGTTTCATATATATATATATACTCTCTGTTCTGTGAGTTTATTCCATACTTGGGACTTGTTTTGTTTTTGAGCTTTTCAGGACAAACACAGACGACATTAAAGCTCTACGTGTGATCACTGCTATCAAAACACCGTATCTACCTGATGGAAGATTCGACCTTGAAGCATACGATGACTTAGTGAACATTCAGATACAAAACGGCGCTGAAGGTGTCATTGTTGGGGGTACAACTGGTGAAGGACAATTGATGAGCTGGGACGAACACATTATGCTTATAGGCCATACCGTTAACTGTTTTGGCGGAAGCATCAAAGTCATTGGAAACACTGGAAGCAATTCGACTAGAGAAGCAATCCACGCGACTGAACAAGGATTCGCGGTTGGAATGCACGCTGCTCTTCACATAAACCCTTACTATGGCAAGACTTCGATTGAGGGTCTGATTGCACATTTCCAATCTGTTCTTCATATGGGACCGACGATTATATACAATGTGCCTGGTCGAACAGGGCAAGATATACCGCCTCGTGCCATCTTCAAACTTTCTCAGAATCCCAATTTAGCCGGTGTGAAGGAATGTGTTGGGAACAAGCGGGTAGAAGAGTACACTGAGAATGGGGTTGTTGTATGGAGTGGTAATGATGATGAGTGTCATGATTCGAGATGGGATTATGGAGCAACAGGAGTTATATCGGTTACTAGTAATTTAGTTCCGGGTTTGATGAGGAAATTGATGTTTGAAGGTAGGAATTCATCTTTGAACTCAAAGCTACTACCTTTAATGGCTTGGCTATTCCACGAGCCAAACCCGATTGGAATTAACACTGCTTTGGCTCAGCTTGGAGTGTCGAGGCCAGTTTTTAGGTTACCGTATGTACCATTGCCACTGTCTAAGAGGCTTGAGTTTGTGAAACTGGTGAAGGAGATTGGACGAGAGCATTTTGTGGGTGAGAAAGATGTTCAGGCTCTTGATGACGATGATTTTATCCTTATTGGTCGATATTAGCATACTTTTTTTCCTTCGAATTTTTGGTTCCTTTTGTTTGGTCTTAAAGAAGAAGAGATGGTTCTATCGTTTGGTATTATGTAGCTGTTGAATGAAAACTCACGGAATGATTTCATCATATTTCTTATCATGTTTTGATCCTCTGATCGTTATGTTCTGCTTATACTCTGTTTTAAGGTTGCTTCAAAGAATCAGAGGGAGAGACTTTTGGATAGAAACGGCAAGCATGTTTGATTCCATTGTTTGAAACAACATGGCGTTGACATCTTGGAACGGTCACGGCATCGCCATGTGAAAATCATTAATTTTGTTGGATACTCCAAATCAAAATATTTAATATTACGGTGATTTTCTACGTTGTTTGGGGTACCCACGTCACGTGAGATGTTCGTGCCAGCTGTGTAAATTTCTCGTCCATTGAGATTAAAAAGAACTTTGTCAAAAAATTTGTAAGTTGTCAAAATTATATCCAACGGAATATACTCAATTATGTATGTGTAGAGAGACTAGAGAGTAGCAAAAACAGAAAAAAAAAACTTTGAATAAGAAAGTAGATTAACCATTAACTAACAAAAGAACTTACAGAGATTACATGAGAGATGAAACTAAAAATTAGATGTATACCCACTAATAATAACTAAACCCACACTTAGATAATAAAAAGACTCTAAATAACCAAAATTTTCTGGTTTTTTTTTGAGCCCTGAGATCTTATTATTGATACACTAAAGAAAGAAGAATATGATCTTGGTGATTGGTGATGTTGTAAGGTTTTATTTATGGAACAGAGGAGAGTTTTTTGGTCTGAAGCAGAGAGAAGAGAGCTTTGTTTTCTTGGTGAAGAAGAAGAGCTTTCTTCCTAAGTTTCTCGTTCTCTCTTAATATGTTTTGATTCTCCACGTAAAGCTTTAGATTAATCATCTCCATCTTCTTTTCTTCCCGCCACATCCGTCTCCTCCTGAAAAAAGGAAAAAAAACCATTATAGTGATTCAGAACGTACTTACATATATATATAGTCGATGATAATCTCCTAGATGTAATTCAGTGTATGTATGATGATAGAGATTGAATTAACCTGGAGAGACGAGGGATACGAACGTGACTTTGTGTTTTGAGGTACAAAACTAATCTCGTGGGTGTGTCTGAAAATGTTTCTGAAGAACTCAAACACATCTTGAAGCTTGAAGAGAGAAGACAAGAGGGAGAGATATAAGTGAGACGTGTTTGATTAATGGGAGAGATATAGGAGAGGCGTTATATAGATGAGAAAGTTTGTTGTGAGTTTTGTGTTCCCTTTGCATTATTCGTTTAGAGAGAGGAGAGAGAGAGGCTCCTTTAGAAGGTAATGATGGCAAAAGAAGAATCATGATTACAAAGGGACAGGGAAAAATGTGATGAGGGAGAAGATGAAGTTGAAATTTTGAGAGGATGAAGAAGAAGAACATGTATATCAAAAACTGTCCTTTTTCTCTCTCTCTATGTATATCTTATTTTGTTTTTGACTGATTGATTGGTTAAAATGTACTATTTGGAAGAACTTAGGAGGTTTCCCTAAAAAGCTCAATTCACCGTTAAAAGGTATACACACACGACATAAGAAACTATTCAATTTTGGTTTATAACTTATAATAAGTTTTGTTTGTTTGTCAACTTAATGGATCCATTGGTGACGGTGGCATGAAGCTTAAATCAAGGTGACAGTTAGTCAAATCTGCGTAACATTTGGCTATTGATACATCATCAATTATACTTTACAAATAAATTAGTTCATATCTAAAAATGCTTGTAGTAGTAATTTATTCGGTCGGAATGTGTTCATACATTAGGTTTGCCGTTAGACTTGGACATATGTAGCTTTTTTTGTTTTTATAACTTCAATAGTGTTACACAATAACATATAAATGGATAAATGAGAAAGTGGTTTTATACCGTCTATGTGACAAGATTAACCTAAACTTACTACAACAAAAAGGATAGGATTCAGATTTGCTATGCAACAATTATCTGAGTTTATGAAGTGATTTGGCAGATTTCTTTGACTGCCAAAAGGTCAAATCATGATTATTTAGGAGCCAAAGAAGTCAAAAAAGGTTAGAGTACGTCAAAACCTCGATCTTCCTTACAAGTACAAGTGTTTCTCCTCTTAACTTTTTAAATCACAAGTCTTTGTCTTTTTTTTTTTTTCAATTGTGTTTTCTGTTTAATATTTGCTTTTATGAATCTTAATTCCAATAATACCCTTCTTTTTCAAAAGGGGATAAAGATTACGTACCCGAGCATCCAAGGTAGAGAGTGTAAATCAAGAATTTTCAAATCGTTGAAGTCATATCTAATGATGGTTAATCATTCCGTTAAATACACACAACAAGACTTAAGTTCTAAAGTTGATTTATAATTTACTTACACCCATGTGTTGTCGTTGTTCCCCGTCCAATAGTTTCTTCTACATGTTGGATGTGTAATCTTTAGATTAATAAACACTCTCTTTTTCTTTTCTTTATGGGCAGTAGTCCAAAATTTCACGGTAAAACATATAATTTTTGTTTTGCTAGTTTGAGTTTATGATTACGTGTTAAAATAGTATTTTTAATTTATTTCAAATGAAATCATACGAGTTAAAAACGTTTTTGGTAAAATTTATAAATTATGTACAAAAACATGAAACGCAAAGCAACGGTAAGAAGAGGGAATCATGGCTCGTGATGGGTCACGTGAGGTAGCGAGGTTTTAGAGAATGGTTTCTGAAACTTGGAAGGAAGATCAGGAAAAAGTGTGAAATGGATACTACCGAATCGGGTGCAGTGACTTTTACCAATATACACATATCTATATTTAATTTGTAATGTATATATACATATACATACATACATGTAGTAGTAGTAGTGGAAAAAGTCATGGAGTACTCGAGTAGGAGAAGAAGCAAAAGCCAAAGCACATTTAATTTGGAAAACGAAACCACCGATTTGGCTTCTTCTTCCCACAATCATCATACCCATTTGCCATAATAACCCCCATTCCCCACTCGACGACGATGGTCGATGGATTCATTCATCATCATCATCATCAACCATCATCATCATCATTGCATTATGAATGTTGTGGGCTATTTTCTTTTTCTCTTCAATGCTCAAACCCAAATTCCACATGCACATGCCCAATCCCCTTTCTTCTTCTTATAGCCCGATTCAATTATAATTCCATATTCTTCAAACTATAATTTATTTTTTACCAATCGCCTAACTATATTTTACCATCTTAAATTTCTATAAATTCCAGCAAGAAAAAAAGATGAAGAAACACTTTAAAATAGTTTCATGTGAAACATGGATATATACTAAGCTAAATTTCGTAACCATTCAATAAAAATATCAAGCTACTCATTGACAAAAAAGAAAAAAAATATATACTCATTACATGTATTGATGATATATATGGAGAAACAAAGAATAAATTGATGAGGGCAAGGACTAGGACCACTATAAACTCTACTCATTTCTTGTATTGATATTTTCATAGAAACCAAAATGCAAAGACAAACTAGTAAGAAGAGGCATCAATGGAATTGGAGGTGATAGTCAACACCGAAATGAAACCCCATCCACGCTTCTCTCTATAAAGTGTTCAAAACTTGTTATAATGTGTTGTTGTTATAACTCTATTATTATATCAACTATTATTGATAGCCATCCTTTTAAGTATCCCATAGACAACAATGAATCTTCTCAATCAAACCTAAGAGTGTTTTTTTTACCACTAAAGAGATCATAAAAATGACAAGAAATTGATTAGAGTTTGGAGGGTAAGTTTTGGAGTTGCTACTGTTTCTATAATGATGAAATGGTTGTAAAAGGAGCTTCTCTTCGCCCTTTCACCATCAAAGCCTCTCTTTTAATTTCAGATTTTCCATTGATGATTCCTCTGACTAACTCTTTTTGCTGTCTATTTTTAGCCCCATCTCTAGCTTAGCCCCTTCCTTTCCCCTTCATTCTATCTTTGATATCATTGCATCACATTATGGAGAGACTTTGTTCTGAAGTAGACACATCTTAAACTATCAAATTTTTTAATCACTTCGTTTAGCTTCGCATTCCACGTAAATTACAACTCCTCTTGTTACAACCTTAACATTTGTCCTGCGATATCTACACCCTATTTCTAATGTAAACGAAAAAATGAGCCCGGTGTGTACGAATACAAAACAAAGAGGGATTTGGAAAAGACTGTAAAATCATGACTATGTTACTGAGAATTAGATCTTGAAACGGGAATCATGCTAAGTAGCTTTATCGTCTTCGTCCATGTTGTCCACTTGTTTCTGATCCCCATCAGCTTCATGGCTTTCTTCTGTATCGGGATCCAAAGAGAGTGATCCCTTGTCATCATTCATATCAGAACCCTCTGTATCAGAGTCTGAGACAGGATTGTGTTTTTCCTTCTCATGATCATCATCAGATTCCGAACAACTCTCTGTCTCTGAGTCCGAACCAGTACCATGTTTCATCTTCCTTTGATCAATGATCCCCACTGGCTCGTTAATAACTCCACGCTCAGGCTCAGCATCATCCTTTTTAGTGACCAGGACCCCTGGACTTGTCGGTTTAGTTTGGCTTTCGCCTATCTGACCAGCAGAATCCTGTACTATGGTCACTTCCTTGATTTTTTGTGTCTGACTCTCTTCATCTTCTCTACTTCTTTCAGTTTCGCTTTCTCCATGTACAGAAGGAGCCGTGCTATTAGCCCAACTCCCCGCAACTTCAGAAGTTAGAAGATCCGACGTCCTTATAGTGCCTACTCCCTCTGTGTCTTGAGTATCCCTTTGATCGTTTGGGTTCCTTAACAAGAGAACAGCTCCATCATTCTGAACACTTTCATGTGCCTGAGTTTCACAATCTATTTGCATTGTATCACCAGCTAAAATAATCGACTTCCTCAGATGATCATTTCTCTCATAATCATTTCCTGGACTTTGAGTTTCATTAACTTGCTCTGTTCCTACAGGGTCTGTTCCCGAAGTGGGTGCTGTACCAACACCTTCTATATCTGAGCCAAAGCCACCCTTTGCGACCTTTTCAGAGCTTGGATACTCTGCTTCTTGGGTGTTTTGGCCTTCCTGACTCATGATCTCACAATCATGCTTTTGGGTAGCATCTGCATCTTCACATGACGTATCCAAAACTTCATTTCTGGTAGACCTTTGCCCTGAAGTGGACGAGCTTGCCCTGGCAGCACAATTCAAATGGTAAGTTGCTCTTTTATCTTCCTGCGCATTAGCTCTGTTGGGACTTCTGTTTATTGGATTAAGATCAATATCTAGTGAAGTATTGTCACAATTATCCTCATCTTCCAGAGTTCTCTGCATAGTCTTGAGCTGTTCCTGCTGCTTTGCAAACAGAGCCGAGATCTCCTCAGTCGTAGAATAAAATGCCCGCATCTGAGTTTCACTACATGAAGATTCCGTGTGTCAATATGTTAGACCAATCAAACTTACGTGAAATGAATCTTAATAGTTTAAGGTAACACTGTCAACAAGAAACTACCTTCCAATCAGGGAATCTAGACAGCAAAAGAACTGTACAGAAGCACTAAACAAAACACAAACTTAAAAGAAAAAAAAAACATGCATGTGTTGTTTTCACCATTGACAGTTGAAGATGTTAAACAAAAAGTAGGTTACCCAACCAATCATATACACTAGAAATAGCAGCCTAACGTTATAGTACCATGCATGTCGATGTTCTTACCGGAGCATGATTCTTTCCCTTGCACCACGGTGTCTCTGTCTTTCGACGTCAAGGTCTCGAACAGCAGCACTTATCTCTAGCTCCAAGGCAGACACTTTCGCCCATGCTTCTTCTCGAGCTGCCTGCTAACATAACAAAGACAGTCTCAGCTTAAACATACTATGGAGAGGACGCAAAAAAAAAATCTCAGCTACATGTCCAAGATCTTTAAAAGCATGGTATCATATTTCCGTAGCAGAAATCCGAGGTAGGAAACAGAAGCATGTCATTAATGTAAAACTGGGGAAAAAGTATAAGGCACACAAATTTGTTTCCATTCTTACCTTTTCACTGTCCAGATCCTTTTGCAGTCTTTTTATTTCAAGGTCAAGTTCTTCCAATTTCTGCTCCAAAGGAATTTTTTGCAACAAATGCACCCGTTAGTACAGAAATAAAAGAGAAAAAAGAACCATGCAGAATACGGAGGAAATTGCATTCAGGTCAGGTACTTTTTGTGCATTAGCAGAAGCAAGCTGCTCCTCAGACACTTGAGCTTCTAGCTGACGGTTTCTATTATCAGAATCGACCAACCTCTGCCTCGTATCTTCCTATAAAACACCACAAAACTTGTCAAATGACAAATGATAAAATCTACGCGTACAAGGCTAATTATGAAAAACATTTACAAAAACATACCAATTTCGACATCAATGTTTCCACTTGCATTGACCTTTCTTTCTCTGACTCCTAAATATTGGCCAAGTAAACTGTCTTATTCGAAGGGCATAATAATGAGAAATGTTAATTCACACAACTAAGTCTATCATACCTTCATTTTGTTGATTACTTCTTGTTGTTCCCTCTCGTGTCTCATAGCAGCATCAGAAAATCTTTTCAATTCTTCCTGAGCTTCAATTTGGCATCTATGCATCGCAGCTTTGAGTTCAGCAACGGCAGTTTCTCTTTCCTCTCTTCTTTGATTTCTCTCTTCATCCAACCCTGTCTTCAACTCAGCTATGGATGCCTTTTGACTGAAAGCAAGATGTATTTTTTTCCTTAAGGTTATATTTGCAATGCTCAGGCTATGAAAGCATAGTCACATAAGATATTCCAGAAAGGTCACACAACTCAATATGAAGAAAGTGATTCAACAAGAAACAGTTCATACTGACAGACCAATTCACGACCAAAAGAAGCAGTGTATATAAATTTTTAAGCTATATGTTGTCGCCAAAAAAGACCGAAGTGAAACATTTCGAAGTGAAAGATGGTTTTAATCAGATCATTGTTGGGACAGGTAAATTAAACTTGTCACAATACTTGCATAAAATATGATCTAACAATCAACAAGGGAAAAACATTCCGTTTACCTTTTAATTACTTCATTTGCTTCACTGAGAGATTGCAAAGAAGCGCTTACTCTCTCACCAAGTTCATCAATGGAATTCTTCTGTTCAGCTGATAATTTGTTGACCTGCGCCAGTTCCTTCTGCTTAGTATCTAATTGATCACGCAGCTCAATCAGTTCATTATGAAATGATTTTGCAGTGGATTCTTTTATCTGTTTTATTTCCTGCAAATGCAAAGTTATATCAGTAAAGATACTCAAATAATCCATCAATCACTCAAACATGATTATTGTTGTTTTTTATCGTTTGCAACAGCATTTTAAATAACAAAACTACCCCCGGCCACAACAAATATTCAAAGAAAAACTCAACATACACTTTCATGGTGCTCCACAATTGAGCGGGACTCATTACGCAGAGTGTCAATGGTAAGCACCTGTGCTTCTAATTGCTTCCTCAGTTCCTGCATACGACATTGATTCGTTGACAAAAAAGTTGAGAATGACATCAAGATTCATACAATCACTTACATCTAATAACGGAACCAACATCAATGATGAACATACTGTGTTTGAACGCTGGAGGCTCTTAAAATCATCCAGAGATATTGGACCGTTGGGACCACCAATCCCTATGCCCTTCTGCCTCTTAATTTCACATGTAGTATCCTCTTCACATGAGCAAAAACACAGATCAGAAGTGAAAAAACATATGCTATATAATGGGGAAAAAGAGCCCTGAGACATGCCATTCCTTAGTTATATATACATGGAAAGTAGAACAAAAAGAAAAAAATGTGTAACCTTCGTGGCTCGTACCTGCTTTTCTTTTTCTGTTCATGCAGGAAAGTGCAGGATTATTACCAAGTACTTCGCGGTATACAAATGCAAAAGCCTTCTCTGAAAAAAATGCAGAGGTCTAGTGTTAACATGTTAATTGATCTGAAAAAATGGGCATAAAACAGAAAAAACTATAGTAACCGGTAACCCAAACAAAAAAAATCAGTTTAACCATTTAGCCCTAAAACAAGTGATAAAATGTGAGATATGAATTCACAATGCTAAGACACAGAAAACTTATGTTACCATGCTCTGGAGGAACAGCAAGCGATATGATGTCACCGTGCTGAACCCTGACTTCAGGGCCGTTCTTTTTTAACCTCTCCCAATTGAGAAACGTACCATTTGTGCTGAATCAAAGAAAACCGAAGACATAAACAAAGACTACATTTTACAACTGCATAGAAAAATGAATCACACAATTGAAACAGAAGAGAAGCTCACTAACCTTGTGTCTACCAAAAAGACAGATACATCACAGCTAGACGTATTATCCCCATCACCGCCTGTGACCTGCTTACGGTAAACCTTACAGTGATTCCCACTAATTGCATTTGATTCTATCTGATAACTAGCGTGACATGGAAGCCGTCCTAAGCAGTGCTCATCCGAAGTCAAAAGTATATTTATGCCCTATAAATCCATTTGATTAGGAACCCAAATCAAACTTTGGACGAGAATCAAAATTTGGTATTCGAAAAGACTAGAAGTTTTAAGAGAGAAACGAACCTGCCGGCGTTTGCGAGCATTGCTTGAAATTGCGGTGAGGACTCCCCAAACGTTCGAATCGTAGTTCTGTAACGGCTGAGAAGCGATGTTAGCTGCGGCGGAGACGATGAAATCCTTGGAGTTGAGCGACGGAGATGGAGAAGCGCCGTTTTGGCTATTGATCCGCGATGCAGCAGCAGCCGCTTTGATGTCCTGGCTCGCGTTCGATGCTACCGATGCAATTTTTCTCTCGTCTTGTTCAGCCGCCGTAGACGCCATTAATACTACTTCGATATTAGAAGAGAAATGGCGGGGATTTTGAAACCCTAACTGTCAAATACGCCAGTGAGTGAAGGGGTTTTGTGCTGTCACGAGTCTCTCTGTTGGTAAAGCTTCTCGAGGAAGACTGCTGTTTAAACGCTCTGTCGTTTGTTAAATGGAAATAAGAACTGATTGTTGTTATATGGAGTTAGGAACGGTGGGGTTTGTGTTCTCGGAATAAAGAAACGTTTTCATCGTTTAAAGAAGTGTCGGTGTCAAGATGTGAAAGAAATCGGGCTTTTCACTCTCTTAATAAATATAACTGGGCCACCTCTCCCAACCCTCGACAATGTAGACCCATTCATTGGTTTAATTTTGATTTGTATATGTGAAACGGCATCGTTTAATATATAACCTACAAATTTGGAATATTCTCATCGTTTTAAAAATAATAATTTAATTAAGTTAAGTCTTAAAGTGGGAATGTTGCTTTGTTCGTTGCTTCGCGGGAAAACTTAGCGTTTAGCCGGCAAAGGTAAATAAGGTATCAATTTGCTTTCTAAACGAAGTTTAAAAACAACAAAAAGTTTGATATCAAAAAATATAAAATGGGGCCTAGGAATTACCAACTAAATTTATTTAAAAATACTAAAAGCATCTTTAAATCAAACACTACACGAGAGAAAACATCAAATTCTAAACCTTATATTGATCTTATATCATAAAGTAGTTCTTTGACAAAAGAAAATCATTAACTTAGTTCCAAGTAGGGATTTTAAGAATTTTTTAAGAATTTTGATTAACCTCAAAGGTAGACTTCTAGTTTGCTGCATTATTGTCGGTACAAAAATTATCCAAAAATGGAAAAGAAGTTAAATAAAATAAGTTGAAGGACAAAGATCCCAATCAGATCAACACTGAAAGCAATAATGAAAATGTGATTAACAAAAGATTTAAGTAAACCTCACTCACTAATCCCATGTTTTCAAACTCAACAACACATAACCACAAAAATAAAAATCAAAAGAAAATAGATTATAAATAAACAAAGGGAGTGGCAGCCTGCGTAATTACGAAGAGAATTCGAAAGGTTCTAAGAGCAGAGAGACACGGAGACGACAACGGCGGCGATAGTGACCAATGCGGTGAACAACGACGGTGTGCTCACGCCAACCGCCGCGTTAGCCGACTTACTGTTTGCTGAACCTCTCGGCGAGTCTGAAGGAGCACTTTCAGGTGAATCGTCCGTCGGAGGTGCCGGTGGTGAAGCCGCGATGGGTGAAGGTCCATCCGCCGGAGATGGTGTCGGTGCGGTAACTGGCTCCGGCGCCGGTGCCGGAGAAGGAGATTTAGATTTTCCGAATAGCTCAGCAGGGAGGAGGACATTATCCACGGTGAAAATCACAACCGGAGTCGCGTCGAGTACAGTGTCGGCGAGTCTCGACGGCGCAACGCCGGTGTGGAGAATAACTTCATCGCCAGAGGTAGAGGTAGTTAGATCGAATTTTCCGGCGCCGCTAGTGGCTAACGTGGAGATATTGTTCTTGTTAGTCTTCAATGAGCCTTTAGGTTTATACTCAGCGAGGGCGTGATACTCTAAGAGCGAGACCACCTCAGCTTGTGTGAGCTTCGTCAGATCTGGTACACCTTCAGCTTTAAAAGCTTCATCGGACGGTGCAAAAACCGTCAAGCCTTTTTCAACGGCGGATTCGTAAGTCTTGAGAACTCCACTTGAGACAAGCAAATTAGCAAAGGTTTTGCAACCGGCTTTCTCTAGTAATCCGGTGATGTTTGACAAGGAGGCGGAAGGAGCAGGAGCGGTTAAAACTCCCGGAGCGATGATCGGAGCATCGATCTCTAGGATTGAGATGTTGTAAGGGATTTGTTTAACGGATTTGGTGTAAGATGAATCGAGTTTGGAACCTGAAGCGGCTGAGCCAAATCCGACTTTGCCTCCTTTAAGATCGGTGATGTTGACGAATCCTAGGTTTCCGGGAGCGTTTCCGGTGGTTTGGTAAAGTGTGGTGGAGAGAGTTGTGCCTTTGGAGATCTTGTGGAGTTTTAGTGGATCGTAGTAATCGAGGAGTACGAGGAGGCTTAAAGCGCTTTTAATGACGGAGAGAGGATGTTTTCCGGCGAGAGCAGACATTGCGCCATTGTTAAGGACGAGAACTGTAATCGTCGTGCGGCTGTTGATCTCGTCGGCGAGCTTCGTCTGAGAAAGGTAGCTGTTGAAGGAAGAGTAATCAGGAGAATCAGCGAGGATTTGAGTGATGTTGTGGCTACTCACGGTGGAAGCAACGGCGAGGAGGGAGAAAGTGAAGGCGATGAGTGAGAATGTCTGTGACGCCGCCATGATGAGACGGTTTTGAGTTTTTGAGTGTCAGTGTGGAGCAGAGGAAGTGGAGAAGACTGAGTGAGAGAGAGATGAAGTTAAAAGAGAAGGATGATTATTAACCACGGTTAAATGTTAACCATGGTTATGTTAGAATATTTGACTAGAGTTAATTTTGCCTTTTTATTTTTGAAATGTGTGCTGTATATAAGTAGTGAGTTGGGTTGGATTGGGGCCATGTGTTCTTTTTCGGACATAGCTGGAAGAAGAAAAGAGGCCATTCCATTTAATTGTCTTCTTGTTTAAAATTACACCAAAATAAGAGATTTGGGCTTCTTTTTCTTCTGCACTAGATATTTTTTTTGGCCTAAATAAAAAACACTGTAGATTGATTATCGGTTTCTTCATCTAAATTGATCGATAGTGTTGAGTTTTGTTTGTGGTGGTCAGTAATGTTGTTATCTGAAATGTTTTAAGTACCAAAAAATTGTTTGTGGATTAGTGGCTTGACCACTAGAATGTGTATCTTACTCATCAATGATTCAAACCTCACATTTTTGTATAGTAGAAAAAGAATTTGTAAAGACCGTGACATATAAATATAGTTTAGTACTTTCTATTAGTATTGATATTATGTAATCATCTGCATTTTATTATGTATGATTCAAATTCAATTTCATTTGATGGTTGTAAAAGTATTGTTGATGTGCCACCACACGAATTCAAGTCCGTATGATGCATAGTGTTTATACAAAATTGTAGAAATGAATATACATGTTTTTATATATATTTATTTTGGTTGCCGACGTTCATATTTAAATATAGATAGTAGAGTTATCCACAATTCGGTGAGGACCAATAATATTGAATCACTGCTTCCCATTATACGATTTTTTTGAGCTGTAAAAGCGTTACTTTCCAAGTGTGGACAGTATTAAAAAAACACTAGTGAGTTACTAGTAAGCTGTAAGCATTACATGATCAAACTTTCCTTATATACTATAAATAAAGTATTTTGCTTTGTGTTTTTTTTTTCTGCCTACTGAAAAATATAATTGCAAATGTGACCAAGAATAAAAGGCATCAGGAGAAACAAAAATGTTACAATAAAAGCCAATCAGAACCAACAAATTTTGAATGATTAAAGCAAAAAAAAGAGAGAAGAAGAGTAGAGCCCAACTTAATGGAGTAGTAGTAATGGGCCTTTGATGATAAGATGGGCCCATATAGAGGAATAAGAACGTGGAGATGTAGTGGAGCAGCTGGACAGAGAGTTATCAGTCTCTCTCTGTGTGTCATTGTTTAAAGAGGGAAACTCAACTTTTTTAATGTCCGAAAAGTATTCAAACAAGGCTGAAAAACGCTGACGCATTTGTCAGAAACCTGACAACTGCCTTTAAATCTCTTCACACTCGCCTCTTCGTCTTTCCTCTGTTTTTCTTTTACTCTCTCTCTCTCTTAAACAGTAGCGAACAAAGCAAGAGGTTTTAGTATCTGTTTGGTGTTAAAGCTTTTTCTTCTTGGGAGGTGGGTTTTTGCTTCTCTGTGTCGCTAGTTTCAAAAGCTGTCTCCTTTTTCTTGGAATTGAATAAAGTTTCCCTAGAAAAACAAAGTTTTAAAACCAATTTTTGTTGTGAAGATGCAGAGCCCTAAAATGAAGCAGGAGGATGTTGAGGAGGAGAGGATGAGGAATAAGTGGCCGTGGATGAAGGCGGCGCAGTTAATGGAGTTTCGGATGCAAACTTTGGTGTATAGATACATAGAGGCTGGTCTTCGTGTGCCTCATCATCTTGTGGTGCCTATTTGGAACAGTCTTGCTCTCTCGTCTTCCTCAAATTACAACTATCACTCTTCTTCTCGTAAGTAACTTGAAATTCGAGTGTACTTTTCAAGAAATTCTCAGGAGTATTTGCATAATTTTTGAGCTAGGAGATAAGAAAGAACATAATTTAGAAGATTTTTTACATACACTTACTATAGTAAGTCTTGGACCTTAGAATCTAGAGAAGTTATTGTTCTAATTTTGAGGTATTCATGTGGAGTAGCTTGATGGGTTATGCTTATTTAACTTCCTGAAACATGTTTTTGGCTCTTGGGTTTTGAGTTGGATGAGTTAAAGATTCACATACACAACAGTCTTTGGTTACCTCTGTATTAATCTATTAGATTTTATGTTCTGTTTTAATAGTTGATTGATTTCTTGTCTGAATTTGATTTTGTGATTATTGGGGATTGTGTTGCAGTGTTGAGTAACAAGGGAGTAAACCATATCGACACGGTGGAACCTGAACCCACAAGGTGCAGGAGAACAGATGGGAAGAAATGGCGGTGTAGCAACACGGTCCTTCTATATGAAAAGTACTGTGAACGGCACATGCATAGAGGCCGTAAACGTTCAAGAAAGCTTGTGGAATCTTCTTATGAGGTTGCTTCGTCGTCAACCAAACACGACAACACTTATGGTTTGGACAGGAATAACGAGAGTCAGAGTGTTCTTCATGGGACAATCTCGGGTTCTAGTAATGCGCAGGTAGTTACCATTGCTTCATTGCCTAGTGCCAGAGCTTGTGATGATGTCACTCGTCCATGTTTAGTGATCTCTGAATCCACAAACAAAAGTGTGAGTCACGGCGACAGGAGCAGAAGGAACATGGAGATGAGTTGTGATGACTTTATCAGTAAAAAAGAGTCAAGTATGTGTGTAAGAGTTGTTCCTCTTCAAGGTATTATGATACCAGACTCACAACAGAAAAATATCTATTGAATTCATTTCTTCACTGTTCCTTGGATTGACCAGGTTCCATTGTTTCATTACTAGGTGATGAGAGCTTACCTTCAGTTCAAAAGTTCTTCCCCGAGGTATCTGCTAATTCCTTAGAAGCTGCAAAATTCTCAAGCAACAGGAAGAATGATATAATTGCAAGAAGCAGAGAATGGAAGAATATGAATGTTGTTAATGGTGGCTTGTTTCCTAGTATCCACTTTTCTCCAGATACTGTTCTTCAAGGTAATATCTTTGATACCTCAGCTTATAGTATCCACTTATCGTCAAAGTGAGCTTTTTGGTCTTATAACTTGTTTCTTTGTTGTAGAACGTGGTGGGTTTCGTTTACAAAGAGTTGATACAGACAATGAACCAGGAAGGTGCCGAAGAACAGATGGGAAGAAGTGGAGATGCAGCAAAGATGCTTTGTCTGGTCAGAAGTACTGCGATAAGCACATGCATAGAGGTATCAAGAAGAAGCATCCAGTGGATACTACTAACTCACATGAGCATAGCAGTTTTAGTCCGTTAACTGTGAAAACAGCTGCTAGATCTGTGTCTTGCAAAGATGGAGATGATCAGAAGCTTTCTGTTTCAATCATGGGAATTCCACTGCCCCGAGTTTCTGATGAGAAGAGCACTTGTAGTTACAGTACCGACACTACCATTACTGACACAGCTTTAAGGGGTGAAGAAGACGATGAGGAGTACTTGTCTTTGTTTTCATCAGGTGTTTAGAAACATAGAAATGTTGTTGAGGTTCAAATGTTTTGATGTTTTTAGTTTCTATCTATGGATCTTTCTGACTTTCTGTGTTAGATGTTAGAAGAAGTCAATTCACAGATTTTAGTTTAGATTCTATTGTGCTGAAATGAGATAATATATCACATGGAAAGTGCTTTCGCTGTACTTCTAAGACATTCTTCTCATAACATTAGATTACATATAAGCTACTTGTCCTGAGATTGGGAGAATAGCATCAAACATCAATTGAGGCGCACACACCTTTTGGATCTGCGTTCTTGACTATCCACGGATGTTGCATGATCTTATCAAGGGAGAGTCGCTTGGAGGGATCCTTAACAAGAAGCTGCAAAAGATTTTAAACAACTATATGTTAATGCTTAATAACTAGTCAAGCAAGAGAGTCGTTGTGGGTATGCTTTAGCTTGGGTATACCTGACTGATAAGATTTTTGGCTTCTTCTGAAACATTTGGTGTAAGAGGAAAACTCAAATCAATCTTAAGAATTCTGCATAACAGTGAGTACAAAACGTCATCAGGAGCGGATGTTTAGTTTATTCTGTAATTTCCACAAAGATAAAAGCCTAATATATTCTCTTACCTCTTGAATGTATCTTTTTGACTCTCGGCTTCGAATGGAGGGTTACCGTAGAGAAACTCGTAACACAGTATGCCTAAAGTCCAGTTATCAACTGCATAATCGTGATCTCTATTTTCTACCATCTCAGGTGCCAAGTAATCTAAGGTTCCACACATTGTTTTCCTCTTGTTACTTGATTGCACTGACCAGCCAAAGTCTGCAATTTTCAATCTCCCCTGCATGTATATGACGGTACTAATGATGAATATCCTGAGTTCTCAATGCATAAACTATAACCAAACACACATACCTCATGATCGAGCAACAAATTTTCAGGTTTGATGTCTCTGTGAATCACACATTTGCCATGACAATAGGCCAGTGCCTGACTGAGACTTGCAATGTACTGAAATCATCGAGAAAAAACCATCAGTTTCACCAACAAGAAGCAAGTTTACACAGCGTTTGAGAAGCATAGCAGCAAAATGAGACTCACAGTGGCGGCTTGTTGTTCGGTAAGATGACCATTCTTTTTGAGCACACCATAGAGCTCACCACCATGAGCATACTCAAGAATCAAGAAAATCCGCTCATCGTCATCGAACCAACCGAAAAGACGCAAGATATTTGGGTGGCTTAAACTCGTTTGGATCTCCATTTCTCTCCTAAGCTGATGATGAATTTTATACTTCTCAATCTGCTCCTTGAATATCACTTTCAGCGCCACTATGTACTTACTCTATATCCCAAAACCACAACCAAAACAGTTGATTCACAAAATTAGGTTTCCATGACAGTAAAAGCTCAAATTGAGTGAAATCTCGACCCTAATCTAACATTTACAAGAGATTAGTTCGAGATAATCGAAGGGAAATGAGTACCTTGGCTTCTCGGGCGAGGTAGACTCTACCAAATTTGCCTTTTCCAAGTGGTCCCCCGATCTCGAAATCTGCCAGGGACCATTTCTTCTCGGTATCGCCAGTGTCAGATTCTGTCGATCTCTTACTCATTTTTCCGATCACCGTACTTTTACCGACTTAGACGACGGCGAGAGAGCAAGAGCCTGAGTTTTCAGATAGAGAGAGAGAGCGGAGAAACCAAATTTGAAATTCAAAGTCCCTGACGAAGAAACAAACCCATTCAATACGCAGCGTTTCGTAGTGAAGTGCTGAAATGACGATTTTACCCTCCACGATCTCTCTAAATTTCGAAACTCCCACTGACTCCACAATCACATTACCCATCTCTTAATAATATTGATCTTCTTCTTTGAAGAGTAAAACGTTTTGATTGTTTTGTTGTTGTTGTTTTTTAACTCTACACCATATATTATAAACTACCTCAAATTTACAACAGAAACAAACAATCCAAGAAGAAATTTAATTAGAGCCAAACTCTGAGTTCCAACGTTCAAGCTCTTCCCATTTGCTTTTACTCAAGCTGGGTCTGATTACTGCCATCGATTTCCGAAAATCATTATATCGTAGAGGTCTCACCTGTTACATGGACACATCTATTCAAACCTTTTAAACTCAAAGATACTTCAAAATTGATTAGAGAGACTAAGATTTTATACTTTATTTGCTTGGATGGTGAGAATATCTGCACCCAGTTCTCTGATTGGCATCATTGCAGCTTCTTCACACAATGCTTGAAGATCGCTTCCTGAGTATCCTGTAACATAGGGAAAGCTTATGCTTATCAGTTACTTGACTCGCACCACTAAATATATCTGCTGGTAGTATTAATCTATAAAGCTTGCCTTCGGTTTCTTTGACGATTTTATCAATGTCGTCATCGGATAAAGAGTGAGGCTGGCACTTTAATTTAGTTTTAAAAAGTAGTGTTCTGACGTTTGAATCCGGCAATGGTACATATATTCTCTTCACCTAACAAAGTGAGAAAATCGAAGTAAATAATCAGATACTTTCCTACGAAATTGTGGACATAAAAATTCTGATGAAAATAATGTTCTTACCAATCTCCTAAGCACTGCATCATCCAACTCTTGTGGCTTGTTAGTAGCTCCTGCAAAACATTATATCCAGGTAAATTTATAGGGTAAGGAAAAGCAGTATATATGTAAACTGATACTCCGAGATGTTAAACAGTGAAGATTGAGTTTGATGTGGACTAAATTAGCAGAAATCATACCAATGACAATCACCAAATCATCAGGATTAGAAGTCACACCATCAAACTGGATAAGGAATTCTGATTTCAGCCTTCTGCTTGCTTCATTCTCACTGATCGACCTTGTTGACATTATACTATCTATCTGAAAACCAGAGCAAACATAATCAGATCTCCAAGTGACAATATGTTTACACTCACAATTAATTCCATTGACTGCATCTTGGTAAGGGTGCATTTTTCCAGTGAGCACTTCGGTCAAATACAACTTATATGGTTTTGTCTAGAACTCTGGTAAATTTATGTTCTTTGCCTAGTTAACATATAAGACAGGAAAAGGATAAAGTACATACTTCATCCATAAATATAACAGATGGTTGTCTGGATATTGCAACTTGAAACAGCGTTTTAACTAGCTTTTCAGCCTCACCCACCTGAATCAGTACAGTAAAGTCAGTATGCCTATCAGAGTTGAAAGATAGATTCAACAAACTTTATTACAAAAGAGAGTACAGAAATAGATTCAGTACACACCCATTTTGACGTCAAAGAAGATGCTGAGACGTTGAAGAATGTTGCCTGTGACTCGGAAGCGACTGCCTTGGCAAGCATTGTTTTTCCATTGCCAGGTGGCCCGAAGAGAAGCAGACCTAATAGAGAAGAAATTTTATCAAGAACGGCATTGGAGAAGATCAAGAAAAAACCAAGGTTGAAAATGTTACCTCTCGCTGGTCTTCGGAGACCAGTGAACAAATCCCTTCGTTTTGCTGGTAAAATAACCATCTCCAATAAAGCTTGTTTAGCTCCATCAAGTCCAGCTGCAATAATTCAGCATAAGTGTGTTTCCACATACTGCGTTGAAAAGGCAAAACAAGAAGAAAAGCATAACAATGCCACTCACCGACATCATCCCACTTCACAGACGGGCTTCTATCCACTATTGTTGTGTTTATCATCTCAACTAACTTATCATCATAGACATTTCCAGATTCTTTCACAGGTTTTGGGCTTGCAGCTGCATCTTTAGGATTATTTACCGTTGCAATGCCACCTCTGGGAACTGGAGTCCTTTGCGATGAAGTTTTTCTATACCTTGACGCTGTAGAGGAAACTGAAGCTGAAGAAGGAGATGCTACGGTTCTCTACATAATCAAGTATACAATTAATGCCTTCACAAATTCAGTGAAACAATCAATCCTAATACAGAAACATATCACTAAAAACTACAAACTACAAAAAGAAGAGAAAGAAGCAAGACAAATACCTTATTCTCAGACACTCCAACACCTAAAATATGAACACCATTGATGCCAGAAACAAGCAAAAACAAACAACCATCAATGTGAATTCACTTGTGCTGCTTCATATTTCTATGTAAAAAAAAGTCAAAAACCCAAAAATTGATCACCTGTACGCTTACCCAAAGCTTGCAATCTTTCAGATACTTGATTTTGCCAATTTGAAATCTTCTCTCGGTACGATCTCACCTTCTCCTTTTCACTACCATATAATTCAACAAAATCATCACCAAAAAAAAAACTCTTTTTTCACCAAAATCATATAAAGTCAAATCAAACTTATCAAAACCTGGAACTAATATAGGAAGGAGAAGGAGTAAAACTAGCTTCATTCATAATCCTCTGAGCATTTCTATAATGAAGAAGAGCATCATCATGTAAACCCCACTCTTCTGCTCTAACACCTTTAGCGATTTCCTCTTTCGCTAAATCGAAGTATCCTTTTAGCTTATACGCAATTCGTTCGTTAGTAACCGGAACTCCATCGATACCATTCATGGAACCAGAAGATGTTGATGATGATGATACACTAGGATCGTGCTTAGATTCTTCGTTGAGAATCGAGCTAAACGAATCAATTATACCTCTGAGAAAACTCATATCTAAGCAACAAACAAACAATAAAATCGATCATCACTTCCGAGTTTAATCACATAACACACATCAAGACGACAAATTGGTTTCACTCACCATGTTTTGCTCGGATATTGAACTCATGTCCGAGAGAAATCGAATCGAAATCAAAACCCAGTGAATTGAATTTTGATGAAGTCGTATGAACTGGGAAACCACGAAAATACGCAAACGATGAATGAACAAAACAACAACAGACGGTAAAGTCTTTAACCCTCTACATAGAGAAGAAGGTTCGAATTCGCTTTAAAAGGCCGACACATATATAATTAGGCCCAATTATATTTTCTCGGTGGCCCATTTCTATTTTTTTTTTTTTTTGACCATCTTCTTCGTGTGGTCGCCGTTAAATGTTAAAATCTCTGTACGAGGTACCTTTTGTCTCATTGTACTTTAGATATTTTCGTTGACTTTGAAGAAAGAAAAGAAATGGAGATTTTGACGAGCATAGCTATTACAGTAGCAACAACGATCTTCATCGTTTTGTCTTTCACTATCTATCTCACGATCAGAATCTTTACCGGAAAATCAAGAAACGACAAGAGATATGCTCCAGTACATGCCACGGTCTTTGCTCTTCTCTTCCACAGAGACGAATTATACGATTACGAGACAGAGATCGCGAGAACAAAGCCGACTTATAGGTTCTTGAGTCCAGGACAGAGCGAGATATTAACTGCAGATCCTCGGAACGTGGAGCATATTCTCAAGACAAGATTCGATAACTATAGTAAAGGACCTGCTGGTAGAGAGAATCTTGCGGATCTTTTAGGACATGGGATCTTTGCTGTTGATGGAGAGAAATGGAGACAACAGAGGAAGCTTGCGAGCTTTGAGTTCTCTACAAGAGTTTTAAGAGATTTTAGCTGTTCTGTTTTTAGGAGAAATGCATCTAAGCTTGTTGGTTTTGTCTCGGGGTTTGCTCTCTCTGGAAAAGCTTTTGATTCTCAAGTAAGTTTTCGAAACAAAACCAGACTCATTATTTCCAAATTTGGAAACTCAAAAGGATACTTTTGTTATGTTTTTGTTTTGAGGGTAGGATATGTTGATGAGATGTACATTGGACTCCATCTTTAAAGTTGGGTTTGGTGTGGAGTTAAAATGTTTGGATGGGTTTAGCAAAAAAGGGGAAGAGTTTATGGAGGCTTTTGATGAAGGTAACGTTGCAACTAGTTCCAGATACATCGATCCACTTTGGAAGCTGAAATGGTTTCTCAACATTGGATCACAATATAAACTCAAGAAGAGCATTGCTACTATAGATAAATTTGTCTATAGTCTAATCACCACTAAAAGGAAAGAGCTTGCTGAGGAACATAACACTGTGAGTTCTCTTGAGTTTATCCTCTTAAAGATTGCATTTACTGTTGTTAGGTTGAAAAATGTTTTGCTTGTCCTTAGGTTGTTAGAGAGGACATACTATCGAGATTTCTTGTGGAGAGTGAGAAAGATCCGGAGAACATGAATGATAAGTACCTGAGAGATATAATTCTGAACTTTATGATTGCTGGTAAGGACACAACTGCTGCATCACTCTCTTGGTTCTTGTACATGCTCTGCAAAAACCCACTTGTTCAGGAGAAAATCGTACAAGAAATCAGAGATGTGACATCAAGTCACGAGAAAACAACCGATGTAAATGGTTTCATTGAAAGTATTAACGAAGAGGCTCTTGATCAGATGCAGTATCTCCATGCAGCCTTGTCTGAGACCTTGAGGCTTTACCCTCCTGTGCCTGTGGTAAAATAACCAGTCTTTAAGAGCTTCTTCTGTGATTGAACATTTTAAGATTTTTCTTAATCTTTGTTGGTCCTTCCAAAGGACACGAGATGTGCAGAAAATGATGACGTTCTTCCAGATGGACATAGAGTGAGCAAAGGGGATAATGTCTACTACATAGCCTATGCAATGGGTAGGATGACTTACATTTGGGGACAAGATGCTGAGGAATTCAAGCCAGAGAGATGGCTTAAAGACGGCGTGTTCCAACCCGAATCACCGTTCAAATTCATAAGCTTTCATGTTTGTTCACTCTGCAAACAAGCTACATAGATAAAGAGTGAGAAATTCTTTTCATATTATACCTGAGTGATGTTTTCTTTCTTTGGCTGTGTATGTAGGCTGGTCCAAGAATCTGTCTTGGCAAAGATTTTGCATACCGGCAAATGAAGATAGTATCAATGGCACTTCTTCACTTCTTTCGCTTCAAAATGGCTGATGAGAAGAGCAGTGTGCGTTACAAGACAATGCTTACACTTCATGTCGAAGGAGGACTCCATCTATGCGCAATTCCAAGAACAAGCACTTGACTTAACCAGAACATCTCGAAAAAACTCTTACATATGAATACTATATTGTAGTATACTCAACTAAAACAAAACACTTCTTTCCCCATATCTTCTGTTTTGTCTTTTGTATAATATGATTACGTGCTACTAAAGAAAGTTGAGGCCCTGACTCCACAATCACTTCCAAATTTATACAAACAATAACAAAATATGAGAAAACATTAAAACGATTGGTTTGGATGTCGAATTCATGTCCGATAGAATCAAAATCAAATCAAATCAAAATTTCCATTGATTAAGAGTTGATGAAACCAAAGGAACTGGAAACGATTTTAAAACACACGTAAACTTCTAAGTAAAAGAGAGGGTTCAGATTTTTTCCTAGGAGCCGTGTAAGAAAATCTATCTTTTACCTCTTGACTTTGTGGTTGTTGAGTCGTCGACAGTTGACTGACTTCTCAGCGGGAAGATTGAAAAAAGCAGACAACAAGAAAAGAAAAAAAAAAACTTCGAAAGCAATGGAGATTTTGACGAGCATGGCGATTATAGTTGTAACAACGATCTTCATCGTTCTGTCTTTTGCACTCTATCTCACGATCAGAATCTTCACCGGAAAATCCAGAAACGACAAGAGGTATACTCCAGTACACGCCACAATCTTCGATCTTTTCTTCAACAGCGACAAATTACACGATTACGAAACAGAGATCGCGAGGAAAAAGCCTACTTTCAGATTCTTGAGTCCAGGACAGAGCGAGATATTGACTGCAGATCCTCGGAACGTGGAGCATATTCTCAAGACAAGATTCGATAACTATAGTAAAGGACCTGTTGGTAGAGAGAATCTTGCGGATCTTTTGGGACATGGAATCTTTGCTGTTGATGGAAAGAAATGGAAACAACAGAGGAAGCTCGTGAGCTTTGAGTTCTCTACAAGAGTTTTAAGAAATTTTAGCTGCTCTGTTTTTCGGAGAAGTGCATCTATGCTTGTTAGTTTTGTTGCGGAGTTTGCTCTCTCTGGAAATGCTTTTGATGCTCAGGTACGTTTCGAAATAAACCAGACTCTGTTATTACCAAGTTTGGTAACTCAAAAAGGATAACTTTGTTATGTTTTGGTTTGAGGTAGGATATGTTGATGAGATGTACATTGGACTCGATCTTTAAAGTTGGGTTTGGTGTGGAACTGAGATGTCTAGATGGGTTTAGCAAAGAAGGGGAAGAGTTCATGAAGGCTTTTGATGAAGGCAACGTTGCAACTAGTTCCAGGTTCACCGATCCGCTTTGGAAGCTGAAATGCTTTCTCAACATTGGATCAGAATCTAGACTCCAGAAGAGCGTTGCTACTATAGACAAGTTTGTCTATAGTCTCATTACCACTAAAAGGAAAGAGCTTGCCAAGGAACAGAACACTGTGAGTTCTCTAAAGTTTTACCCTCTTTTTGATTGCATGTTATCGCTTTTAAAAGTTTCAAAAATGTTTGGCTTGTCCTTAGGCTGTTAGAGAGGACATCCTATCGAAATTTCTTCTCGAGAGTGAGAAAGATCCGGAGAACATGAATGATAAGTACCTGAGGGATATCATTTTGAATTTCATGGTTGCTGGTAAGGACACAACCGCTGCATCTCTCTCTTGGTTCTTGTACATGCTCTGCAAAAACCCACTTGTTCAGGAGAAAATCGTACAAGAAATCAGAGATGTGACATCAAGTCACGAGAAAACAACCGATGTAAATGGTTTCATTGAAAGTATTAACGAAGAGGCTCTTGATCAGATGCAATATCTCCATGCAGCCTTGTCTGAGACTGTGAGGCTATACCCTCCTGTGCCTAAGGTAAAATAACCAGCCCTTAGAAGATTCTTCCGTGGCTGAACATTTTAGGAGCTAATGGAACCAAATAATGGGGATTTAAGATTTTTTTTGTTGTTATCTTTATTGGTCCTTCCAAAGGACATGAGGTGCGCAGAAAATGATGACATTCTTCCAGATGGACATAGAGTGAGCAAAGGGGATAATATCTACTACATAGCCTATACTATGGGTAGGATGACTTACATTTGGGGACAAGATGCTGAGGAATTCAAGCCAGAGAGATGGCTCAAGGACGGCGTATTCCAAACCGAATCACCATTCAAATTCATAAGCTTTCATGTTTGTACACTCTCATTGTTGTTGCTGACAATCTATGTAGTTAAGAGTAAGGCATTTGTATCTAAGACCTAAGTTGTTTTCTTTCTTTGACTATGTATGTAGGCTGGTCCAAGAATCTGTCCAGGCAAGGATTTTGCATACCGGCAAATGAAGATAGTATCAACTGCCCTTCTTCACTTCTTTCGCTTCAAAATGGCGGATGAGAAGAGCAATGTGTGTTACAAGAGAATGCTTACACTTCATGTCGAAGGAGGACTCCATCTCTGTGCAATCCCGAGGACAAGCAGTTGATTCAACAAGAACACTTTCCATACTTTTATAGTGGTTCCATGAGTTTTGGTCATATAACCGCAATAAAGATGGAACCAGACACCAATAAATTTCCTTGTACTAAATAATCTGCTTTTATAGATCTTTGGTGACTCAACTATCATATTAGAATTTGATGAACAAGACTACAATATTGTATAATTTTAGAGCCACCTAGTACAAAAGAAACAGCAGATAAGTCGTACTACAAAAAAGACTTCATTCATGGCCTATCTTATTGCATGACCACGGCAGGAATTGGAACACCTGGTCTTGCAATCCATCCCTTGCGAGATCTGTAAGCATCAATGGCCTCTAATCGCTGCCTCTCCTGTGAAGCACTTAGAGTAGACTTTCTTGCCTGCCAAATGAACATACATATAATAATTTGAACCAATAGCACAACCGAGTATTACTTACAGTTAGAAACAATAGCGAGACTACATACCTTTGGAACCACAGCCAACTTAGGTGGAGCTTGCACAACATCACCAAATCTTATCTGTTCATGCTTGGGGAAGTTTTCACGGAGGGTATCTTCAGTCTTCCCTTTATTCTTCTTTTGCTTCTTGGCCTCCCAATACCTGCATTAAAGTAGAACATTTCGATCTAGTCATCAAACACATACATAGCCAAGAAAGATTTGGGCATTAAGAGAAATGAATAAGGCTTACTTCTTCTTGCGTTCTTTCCTTTTAGACCGACCATCCAACTCCGCAAGTTCATTTTCGAAACGAAGATCCGTCATATGATTTCTCTTTCTCTTTTTCTTCTTCCTCTCCACCACACTATCATCTCCATCACTCTCCTGATCAGACAAGGTTGTGTATCCCTCAGCTTTTTGATTATACAATTATCCATCACATTCTCATTCCCTCAACATGAATCAATTCATATCAGAATACTGAGAATAATGAGAAAACACCATTCAAATTGAGATCTCTAAATTGTTCCCTAAATTACAAAACCAAAAGTTAGGAAACTATACCGTTGCAGCAACATCTACTTCGGCTTTCTTAATCTTTTCCTTCTTCTCTACGACTTGTTTAGTAGAATCTGAAGAAAGAACATAACAAAACAAACAGTCACAGAGGAGAAATCACAACAACAACACACAAAATCGACTCTAATCGTTATAATATACCGTTAGGAGGCGGAGAAGTGTAGTTCATGAGTATACGGAGCTTAGAAGGAACATCATCTTGCTTCGAACGATCAGGCGGCGGCGGAAGTCTCGCCGGTCCGCCGTGAGCAGCTAGGTAATTTTTCTCTCTCCTCTTTTTTCCTTTCCCTCCCATCTCTTTCTCTCTCTCTAAACAATTCTAGAGGGCAATACCTACTTAAAGCTTCGAGGAAAAGACGAAACTCGGCCCAGGCCCATTTTTCTTGGCCCAATAGCATTAAAAACTAACTAACTTGTGTTGAAACAAAACAGAAACCAGAGCTTGTAATAAGAGATTGATTTCCAATTTTTTTATTTCAAAGTCAAAAAAAGTTGAATCTCTGTTTTTCGTCTGGTCCCATAGTGAATCGTATGGCTTCCTAGGGTTTGTGGAATTGATAAGGGGAATACAGATTTGAGATGCAAAGTAGCTCCAGCTCCGGTGGTGGTGACGACCTTGAAAAGCATCAGCAGAAGGACAAGGCTCACCAGAAGCAGAGCGAGTCAATAAGCGAGTCAGCTAATGAATCCAACCACCTCACAATCGTTGTCTGCAATGGAGATTCTAGTCGGGAAGAATTGGTGGCTCAGATCCCACCGAAAAAGGAGGTTAGCTTATCCAGAAACGGAAGCTCTCACGAGCAGTGCAGGGTTTGTCTACAAGAGAAAGAAGAGGTTTTGATTGAACTTGGTTGTCATTGTCGTGGTGGTCTTGCTAAAGCTCATAGGTCTTGTATAGATGCTTGGTTTCGTACTAAAGGCTCTAATCAGTGTGAGATCTGTCAAGTTGTTGCTGTTAATGTCACACCTCCTGAGACTCAACCAACTACAAATTATTGGGTTTGGAGGATTGATCCTAGCTATAGACAAGAAGACCGTGAGAGAGGATGTTTTAGTCCGCTTTGGGTTGCATTCTCGATTCTGATTGGTGGTTTAATGCTTGATGTGTTGATATCTATCACACTCGGGGTCTCTGCGCTTCCGGTTAACATCATTATTGGAGTCATAGTGGTGCTTGGGCTAGGAACAGCTCTAAGGCTGACTTTGGAGTTCTGTTACGAGTGGAGCTTGAGAAGAGCGGTTCACAGGGCGGTGCAGAGGGCAGATGCAAACAACTTCAATAATATTGCGTACCCACCTGCCTTGTAGGGGGGAAACTATGTCAAGTTAAAACTCGTGTGTATGTAAAAGTTGTGTGAGACGTGTACAACTACAATGCTGGATTTGTTGGGAAAGAAAAAACAAAAAACAGAGATTACTACGAGTTTTTTGTTTTTTCCTAAATTGAATAGTTAAAAGAAGTTTGAAGTAACTTCGAAACATGAGAGGTTCATTGATGAAACAAATTGCTCTGAATAAATGAATTTATATTAAAATCATCAGTAAGACACCATTTATCACAGACATATAACCAACAAACAAACTCAATGGGTGAGAGAAAAAGGAAGCTTCGGTGTGTATACCTCAACAATCTCAACAAGCCTTTGATATCTATAAACCATCTTCACAAAAACTATGGACCGACGAAATCAGAACAAACAAAAATGACACCAGGTAGAGATGAAACGGGATCACTTTACTGGGACGACTAACCATACTTACATATGTTACAGACGAATAAACATGTCCACAATCTGATTTTAAGATTTCCATGGCTTGCTACACCTCGGACTTCCCCGAGTATTCCAGCATGAGGTTTTCCGACAGATTTTTCTTGCCGTGAGTTTCCGTGATATTGTATCAATGAGGTTTGATTCCTTTCTCTCATTCCCACCCGAGCTTCAGCATCTGATCCACCACCTTCAAGCTTAACTGCAGGGATTCACAACCTTCTTTTATCATAAACTATGTACAACAATAGAAATTTTGCGTCTTGATAAAGATACTGGTTTTTATGGAGACTTGCTACTAAATCATAGCAACTGACGAATCTAAACCTAAACATCCTCAAATTTTGTATTAGATAATTAACTTACAGCCGGATCAGTGAAGATTATCAATTGTTTATCTTCGGTGGAAACTAAGAGGTTCGTGTTGTCAACATTCAGAGCCAGTGCGGTTATATCCTGGCCTTGACCAAGCTTTAGCACATGGAATACCTACAAGACAAGGATCTCAGGTTGTTTCGACCAGTAAATGAATTAGTTGATCTCTTCATGGAGTTATGATTATACCTGCAGTGTGTATAAGTTGAGGAAGCAAATTGAAGGAGATGGAACTTCCAGTCTTTCAATTTCTTTGCCATCTTTTGATGTATCATTACTACTCGAATAATCCGAGCTGGCACATGAGTTCATCCCAATCAAGGCATTTTGACCATCCATGGATATTTCCATGCAACCAATGCTACAAAAGAAAGGAAGTTTTGCTTTGGCAATCAGAACTCCGTTAATGGTGAAAACGGTAATAGAACCTTCCGAACTACTCCATGCCATTATAACCCCATCAGATGAAATGCAGAGAGAATCTGCCTTCACGCCAACTAATCGTCTGATCAGCCGTCCTTTTCTAATGGAATGCAATAGAACATCTGAGGACTCAGAAGACGAAACAACGACTCCTTGGTCTGAGCTGACACAACAACAAATTATTTCTCTTCGGTGGCCTCGGAGCACTTGTATAGGCCCTTCAAGGCGACATTTTTTGCCTTTGTTTGCCAACGTGTTGGCCAGATTCGTGTTGCTTGTGGAGGAAGGCGCTCCAGAGCCAGTTGATGGCTCAGACACGCTTGTTCGAGTAGTAAACGCCTTGTGAATTCTCCACAGCAAAACAGTACTGTCCCGTGAACCCGTCACAAGGAAGTTGTTGTCTGGAGAAAGAGCCAGACATGTAACAGGGGCACAGTGCCCAAAAGCTGTTTCCAGAGTTTTTGCCCCATCAGATGAGACTAGCTTGATACTATTATCCGCATGTCCACCTATAATTAAACACGAGTTCCATAAATATATATTACCAAAAAACTTGGGATCGTATAATTGCTTGCTTTCTTACCTGTGATTATTTCCCCATCGCTGGTAATAGCAACAACGGATGAACTTCTGATTCCTGATGAGGCAAATGCTTGTGCCTGAGGAAATTGCCAGTCAACAGTTCCAGAACTAGCTGGACCCTTGAACATGCGCATCAATGATCCACTAGTTGAAGTTGTTGTTGCCTTCCCGTGATGGAAGAGGAAGGGAGTACCTTGGCCATCAGGAGTGTTTGGTTGCCACTTGTGCTGTGCAACACGAGCTGCTGGCACATTCATGTCCACAATCACAACACTATCTGAAGATGCCTGAATGGCTGAGGCTGGTAAGTTGCAGCGTTCTGGGGTTTGAACAGCATACGGTTTTATTTCTTTTGGATTTCGAAAAATAGTCTGAAACAAAAATTATAAGCAACTGTCATGTTAAAGTGGCAAATTTAACATGAAGAAAATAAAGTACGCAAGATATTTCTTGGTCTTAGTTTTCCCGAAGAACGCTGAATAGTAAAATCTCCTACACTCACATAGCATGCAGTAGACAAAGAAAACTCTATGTTAAACCTTATGATGTAGATTCCTATAATAAAACCCTATTTATGTTTTTGATAAAAAGTTGTTAAGGAACCTATCGACCTTCAATAGTTCACCCTCAGAGAAATATAAGTTTAAAAGAGGTGTTAACGAAGAGTGCAATTGCAAAACAAAATTATCAGTAGCTGCCACCTGCATATGTAGGACATCTTTCAACGGCATCCTCTTCATGTGAGGAACAGTTAATAGCTGGGATGGTGTTTGCCCAAAATAAGCTATCTGGTCTTGTGTAGCACGTTGTTGTACCTTCATCAAACATTCACGGGCAAGTCATGTCAACATGTTCATACTAAAACTGAGCAACTCCAGCAGTACAGAAAAATTGCCTTACCGGGTCCGTGATCTTATCAATATCAACAGTCCCCTCGTAGGTAATGTAGAAGAAAACGTTATTTGCCATTATAGCTTCTTTGCCACGTTGCTTATACCTGAATGAAAAAACAATTTAGCGGCTTACAAAGACACATGTGATTATTTTGCTGAACACACTAAGTAAAAGGAGGAAACTAAGTTAGAAAAATGTGCTGACAGAATATTATCAGTTCAAGGGAGAAAACCTACCCAAATATGAGATCAATCCATTCATGCAAATGAGCAGATACATGCTCGCTCTCAAGAGCCCTTCGTTGCTTGTGTACAAAATCCACTGGGTTTTTGGCCCAAGGAGGAAGTTTTACAGCATCTAATAGATAAAAAACCGCATCAGATAACAAAAATTTCACCATGCCACGCATAAGTTTTGGCTATGACAAGGAAAAGAATCACTATACCAAGCTTGTCTCCCAACTGTGTTGTACCAAAGTCAATCGAATTTTCGTTGGTCAGCACCTCAGGGAGGTAAAACAACTCTGGAACCTGTAAATTTAGTGACTAAATAAGGGTAGGCTCTTGACTTCTTAAGGAAGAGGCGAATAAAATAATCCATTCGATGCTTTATGGAGACCAATACGTACCAATTCTTTCACATCACTCATGTCTTCTAGAACTCCATTCCAAGTGCCTGGAATGTCTGAAAACATGCGGTCTGCATGATCAAACTTTCCACCTTGAAGTTGAATTGACAGGGTTGTGAAAGGTTCAACTCTGGCCAGATAATACAACACCTGCGCACATGAAATAAATGATAAATATCGAAAAGAATGCAAACTCCATCTAGCTGCATCAAAAACAGTATACGTTGTTTTCTGTCCACGATTCAGGGAACACAAACTTTAAACTGGGAATGGCAGTAATTGTGGCAGGATATTATAGAGAAGAGAACTTACTGCTCCAGCACTCGAGTAATGTGAGCCATAGTGGAATTTGGGAATAACTGGATCTTCGAAGCTAGAATATCGCTCTTGAAATTTTTTGAGCCGCTCTGGGTTCAATGCACCAATTGGCTGAACATATACAAACCCACATCAAAACAAGATTCTCTAGGTTTATGATCCATCATATGCAGACTAAGAACGTAAAATTGGAAAAAAAAACTGCAAAGGATTCCACCTTGGAAAGATCTCTGAAGGTAGATGGATTTGAAAGGTCCAGACTTTCTGAACTGTTGTCAGAAATAATCCATGGGAAAACAGGATACTGCAAAGAATAAGATATCTATCCATCAAGGAAGAAAGGGCATTGACAAGTTCACCAGGAAAACGCAAAAGAGCACAAGATCTACCTGAGTAATGTCATTGTAACTACGGCCAGCCAACGTGTTAAGCTGCATTAAGTATTCAAAATTGCTGATCTGCAGATATTATCCAGATGGGGATCTTTCTGTATTAGATGTTATTCTTGGATAAGGATAAACAAATTGCAAGACAAGTGTGAGTGTGCAGTGTATTGGTACCTCCCATCTAGCCCAGCGCTCCATTAACTGAGTTCTTCTCAAAAGCTGTTCCGGCCTCTGAAAAGGTAACAATATTTGTAAGTTTGCAGCACAGAACGAAAAGTGGCTCAGCCTAGTCATATGCTTTATCAATCCCCCATTGAAGAAAAATATGAACCAAGAGTAATTCAAAAGTTAAAGAAAAGAAGATAGTAAGGATAAAACAGAAACCTGAGTTGCTAGGTAAATATTGTTTAAGTGAGGAGGCCTTGCTTGCACGATAGCTCGATATGCATTTCTTCTTCCCTCAGTATTCTATGATGTTAAGACAAGCAAATTGGGAAAAGTAATTGGTTACAGCATGCGGAGATTTACAAGGTCAGAGAGATAAATATATCATACAGTAGAAAGAGTTTTAGATGCAGATACCCCAAAATCAAAGAAGAAGTTTGAACGGTCAACCATAAAGAGTTCCAGGGCGCTCCTTCTCAGGAGATATCTGAGAAAGAAATAAACAAAGAAATAGATCATCAGTCCTATCACTAATCCCGGGAGAATAAAATGAAACACAACTCATACAGAAAGAGGAAAACTTATCCGAAAAAAGTAATACTCGGCAACCAAGATATGAAATTTCATCTAAATGACTTGTTGGTGTTGGCTTTGTGGGCAATCAAAGTGTTTTTAAAATTTCATTTCAGTCTGCCAGGGAGTGCATTGAACAACAATATGTATAAACTATAAACCATTCCAGATTTTCTTTTAGATGAAAATTTCATATCTTGGTTAGATAAACATAAAAAGCTCTAGATACTAAGCAAATAAATCATCTGAAAATATTAGATTGAAGTAGTGAATAGGAATACATGAGCTAAACAGAATTTGATGATGAAACTTTACCTCCGGCTATAAATCTGATGAAGAGAAGACATTGGCCAACTACGATCCTTTTCTTGATCACCTGATTGGGACTCATCTGAGTGATCAGCCAAATTCTGGCTTTCTCTGTTGTCTACAATAAAATTTATTCTCCTTGTTGTAATCTGAGAAAGGCACAGCAGTTATAATCAGCAATTCAAATTCCATACAAGAAAAGCATATTTGGGAACATAAGCCAATTTCAGGTTTTCTATGATGTCTACATGCCACAATTCTTGACTTCACTTGGATCTAACTAATCTAGTTGGTTATATCCAATTTATCCTCTCTATTCATTTTAGCTACATGTAGAAAATCCAAAACATTCAGGTTGGTCGAACATACTTGAAAGGTTCCTTTTACAACCCTTAGTGGCCGGACCATAGATGTTGGAAGTTCAAGAAGGATCCTTTCATCAAGTTCACTGGGAACAAAACCAGGTGCTACTACTGAAGAATCTCGGACCATTTCAAGGTCATTCGATGTTCGAGGATCGCTAGTTCCTGCTGAAGTTCTGGATGCATGCTCATGTGACCCAGATATCCTCCCTTCATCCCTTCTATGTTCTTCAGCATTGCTTTTGACATCAAGCTGATCACCCTCTCCATGTTCATCATCTTCATACTGCAATTTCCATTGATATTACTTCAGCAGCAAGAACAGGAGGATTTGACGGAGAACCCTTGCTACCATTATCACTTTTTGTGTCTGTCTGATCGTCATAATTTGCTGCAGCCCCATGATGATCAGTCCCAGAATAATTCCTCCTTATACATTGTCTCATCCTCGAAAAGCTTTCCATAGAATCAAGTTTCCAGAAAACCTGCATGTCAAATGATATCACATTACTAAGAAACTTCTTAACATGTTTCAACTTTTTTTTTTAAACATGGCTTACGCGTTCAGGACTGCATATTCCATCTCCAAAAGGCCCAAAAAAGCATTGTATCTCTGCCAAGTAACGAATTAGTTTTCGCCAAGCACGGCTTCCCAAGCATAGGCGATTTGCTGCTAGGATATCATCTTGCATACGCCTATCAATCTGGTGAGAAGTTGAACTAAAAATGAGACTCCGGGTATGCACCCTTCACAAACCAATAAAATGTGACATAGGTGGAAAACAAACCTCTGATCTTTGCATGTTACGTGCTAATGCAAAACTCGCAACAAGTACAGCAATAAATTTGTAGGACAAAGCATTAAAATCTTTTCCATAAACTGATTTTGTATCCACTGGTTGGAGACATTCCATCCACGCCACTCCCATAGCTTCAGAAGTGTTCCATCTCTGTAAACGCTCCATGTCACCGATATTCCTCCGCTGTGCAGATGTTGCCATTGCAACAGCGCTCAGACCTCTTCCTGAACCAATCTTTGCATTTCGTTCAAGATCTCGTGCGGCTGCCAAAGCTGCCGCTTTTGCAGCAGCTTTGTCTCTTGGTCGAGGTGGTGCATTGTTGTTTGGAGGCTCCAGCGGTTTCTGGAAGCTTGAAAAGGTCTGAAGTTTTGCAGTCTTACGCTCAAGCATTGAAGAGTCTCGCCTAAGATGTGAAGGTGTAGGAGGTGGTGGTGCTTCCCAACCAGCTGCCCCTGCAGCTATCATCGCCAGAGCCATTGCAGCAGGCGGTGAAGCAAAAGCAGCAGCCCACTCAGGAGTAATCATAGAAAGAGCACCCTAAATAGACAAATTTGGATACCTCAATCTAATAACTCAAGCATAAAAATATTGGTATCTCAGCAACTAGAAATAAATAGTGACCAATCTAGAAATATATAACTATGATAGCAACTGAGGGAATGTAAACAGCTTTAAGCTACCTCAACGGGGAGAGCATCAGCAGCCAAGGCACGATCATCAACGACAAGGGGATTCATACCATCAGCAGTGGCAAGTTCATGAATGCCGGCCAAAAGTGGTCGCCATCTCCGGAGGACGGCAACAAATGGTGGTAAAATAGCTTCTATATACTGCTTACGAAGTGGTCTTCTGTCTCTGCTGATAGCATGCCATACCTACACAGATTTGTGCTGGAATCAGAAAGCGAAGAAAGACAATATATGTACACACTAAGGACACTGGAAAGCATCAGTTTTTTTAACCAAAATACTAAGGACGGCATCAGAAGTAAAAAGTCTAAAATAGGGCATGATGACAACTTTCCAATCGCAGCATGAGATTTGAGACTAGAATATCATTAAACATGCCAATCTGATTTAGGGAAGACTAACCTCAGAATAGAGAACACATGCAGTAACCAGTACTCTCTGCCTCTTTGAATCGGATATTGGCATGTTTATGATAGGAGATAGCACACTGTGAGATAATGAAAAAAAAGTCAAACTTCTCCTGGTAAACAGCAGAACCAGGCCAAATATCCATTGTGGAACTTAAAGATTAAGCATTAGATGCCATGTTTTAAAATTCTGTGCAATTAACCCAATAGAAAATACTATATGAGATGTAGTCATCATCGTGAATGACCCACAAACGACTTGCGGACACAACTGAACTCAGAGCATCATATTGTGTCCGCACCAGATTACCAGGGTGCAAAAATGCTGACACAAAGTATCTAACCAGATGGATATCTAATTGGCCATGAAGAGAGAAACAAAATATTTCATTGAGTCTACCTCCACAATAAAGCTGATCGGGATTGTCGCATAGACATCTGAGAACCACTATCTACTGTAACTGAATTCCCTGAGGAGCGTTCAGAACTTAGATTTCTCATCAACATATTATCTTCGCCATAGTCTTCTTCCCTCATAGACAGAAGCACCATCCGTAGCATACATAAGAAAGGCTGATCACTGTCCAGTAACTGGTAGAGGGCTGTCATCCCTCCCATCCCAGTACCAGATCCTCCACCTATTCCAAGGCCACCTCCGAGTCCAGACTCATCTAACAGCAAAGCTTGAAGCATGGATACAGATTTTTTAACCAAGGGAAGTTCAATCCAGTTTCCATGAGCATCTTTTTCTAAAGTAGATTTCCAGGATTCTGAACCACTGCCACCACCACCAAGTAAACTGGGTTTAGAGGGAAGGCCAACACCATACCACAATCGACTCCTGTACTTCCAACCCTCAGCCAAATCCATGGCACAGCTGCCATATGAAACAAAAGCACATGAAACAGATTCATAAGGCTCAGCTGCGGAAGCAGCAGTAAGGCGCTCCATTGCGACTGCAGAAATCTGTCCACTTGAATCAGCCATTGAAGCGAGTATCTGAAAAAGAAAGAAAAATTACTTGAATTTTCGTAGCATAAAGAAAATAATGTTTACAAGAATCCCAAATAACAAATTCAAAATTGATATTGAAAATGACATGCTCGTAAGAGATACAATGAAAATAAAAAGAGGTAACAACCCAACCAACAAGGAGAAGAATTAATTAGGACATAAGAGAAGCATGAGCAGATCAACAGCATAAGAAAATATGATTATTTCTAAGCGTGGTTTCTTTAAAAGCACTTGATCATGACAAGAGAACATGAGAAGCAAAGTATCGGAAAGTCCAATTCAGAGAAATCAGGCATTTGAGAATGTTTTCCACTTACATCTAAAGGGACCTTCCCTGAATCACTTGACAGTGAAGCACGGCTGCTAGAAATCTCTGATGATTCTCCGATCGCTGTCAGTGTGCTTGTACGATTTTTAAGAGGAGATGGAGAAGCAGCAACTGCATTTGCTGCACAAGTCTGTTTGCTTTGTGACCGCAAATGATCTTCGACAAGCATCAAAATCACGATTGCATTTTCCACCAGAAAAACAGAAAGCTGAGCAGCATTTTCTGCTCCTGCCTTTGCATCTTTTGGTGCTAGACCCTCTGCAGCAACACCAGCAGCTGCTGCAGCAATAACTTGAGTCTGTTGAGGGGAAAAAAGATTGTGTAGATAAAAATCTAGTTCTATCCCAGTATAACAAGACAGGCAAACACACACACATGCTTGAATGGATAGTGTAATCTGAGATTACCAACAAAGCTCTACAGTATTTTTTTTCTTGCAAGCAATTTCCCTGGAATTTATCTATTTTGTGCATTAGTAAGAAAACAGACGCTCTACAATTTCCTTTATCAAGGACTTATATAGCCATTTAATAGCTCACTGGAAAAGGTCTTTCCAGTAAAGGATCTATGGAACTATGGAAGGCATAAAAGAATCTTAATTTCAATATAATATAAGAAAACATATATATTAAAACCAAAAAAAAATACAAAAAAAAAACGCAAGGAAAACGGAGTTACCTGAGCCTGCAGTTCTCTGGCAGCAAAGTCTAGCAATCCACCAAAAAGTCTTCTTTTGAAAATTGGTAATGACTCCTCACGCCTTCAAAGAGTAGAAGATTAAAAAAAAATTGACAGACTTCTGGCATACTTCTCAAATCATATGGGAAGAGACACTAGTGTACAATATGATCAGTTAGAGAGAATGACTAAAAAACGACCATACTTCAGAAAACCAAAATAGATGACAGTGCAAAAGGCTTAAAAAGGTGAGAACGTCATAAGTGGCTCAAGAAAAATAGAGTGATTCAAAAATGTGAAAGAAAAAAAAAGATGAAGAGGTACAAGGAAAAAAAGATACCTAATTCTTTGCTCTCCAGTGCTAGAACCACCAACGATAGAAAGCCACTCTGCACAATGAATTGTGGCCTCGATATCCTGGGAGAAGGAAATAGATGACGCAAGTAATAATAATTAAAAACAATGTAGCTCGAAGAGAGCTAAAGTGTAACCCCATAGACAGTTAAGACAAACTTTACCTTCCAACCATCCTTCTGGCGCATTGAATGTTCCAACATTATGATCAAGAAGTTGTGAATCATATCTTCTACCTCACAAGAACCCACTGAAGCAGACTGCTTCCCTGCATCCTTCTGTGTACACTCAAAAGTCAGTAAAATTGGCAGAGCTGTTGGCACTTCTTCTACAACTTATCAGCTAACAGTGTAATTATTCGCTCTTTAAGAGTTGCACGCATCACTCGGCTCAGTTATAATACAACAATCAAAAGGTTTAGGTTCCAAGGTTGGATGAGTACCTCATAGTTCGAGATCAGTATCTCCAAGATCCACTCAGGCCACTCTTCCATTGCTGTCAGACTGCTTCTATTTTCCGGATGACTGCAAGCCAAAAACAGAAGATCCTGACAAACAAACAAAAAAGAGCGAGATCAGAACGTCATCGAATGAAGAGGACTTGGACAAGTGAACGCTTTTAAAAATAGTCCACAAAACAAAAGTTCCAGTCAACTAATATTAAGTTTTAATAGATTTCATGACAGCTGTTTCGAAACAAAAAATGCTCATAATGTTTCCTAGTATAGTTATACTAACCCAGGGTTCAGAATATCTCAAGCACCTTTACAAGGACATTTGTTCCTTGACAGTCGGGAAATATTTCAACTGACATATACCTGAAGTGCTCGGCTTTGTAGAGCCTTAGATGCAGATGGTAGAGACCGCAGGAGGACTAACAAAAGTTGGGAATGTTCAAAGCGGTGACCTGAATCATAAAAGTTAAGGCCATCTTCTGTTGATGAAGCATTGATCTGCAAGAAAGTACATGTGATCGCAATAATTTTAACTTCACACCAAAATCTTCAAAGAGTAATCGATATAGACCAAATAATTGCTGACACATGAATTTGAACCGCACATCACACACAATAGCCGTAGAAAATCATGATAGTCAATATAAGGTATGAGATAGCATTTCAGAGAGCCGTTTTGAAACCAACTTTTATCAAAGTTACACACCTTTTTAACAATTCAAATAACAAGTAGAAGGTTTGAAGCGAAATAACCATGTAAATACACCCCAACATTTTCTATTTATAAGAAACGCTATATGCCTATGTGCTCCTTCTTTCTACCCAAGTCATAGTAAGTAGTACCATAATAATCAGAAAGAACCCCAACATACTTTTCAATCGGATTGTTCATAAGAAAATTGAACAAAATGAGATATCAAGAACATGCCATACCGAGGCCCCAAGCAAAGTTGTATAGACGTTGTCAGTCATCAGCCTGTTTGGAGCAGCTTGAAATGCTTTCAGCAAAGCAAATAGTAGCAATGCGACTTTATCATCAAACATTGTTCCACCATTTTCATGGAGCCCACTACCCAGGATGTTACTTGTCACATCAGAACGGGCATCCAAATCAAATGTTAGGTGCCCACTAGAAATTAAAGCACCAATCAATCTGATGATCCCAACCACAACAGCATCGCTATTGTCAACATTGTACACGTTATTTCTTGCACTATCAGCACTTATTGAAAGACTTATACCACCAATTTCAGAAACAGCTGATATTCTCTCAGTATCTATGGAATTGGAGATGGAAACTGAGTCACTATCACAAACGACAGGTGCGGACCCATGCTCCTTTTCTTGTCGAACTGACTCTGGTTCATTCAGAGACTCAACATTATCATCCTCAACAGAATTTTCATCAGGACCAGGAAGGTCAAAGCCAATCTCATTATCGTGTGGATTGGAATCCAACTGTTTTACCGAACCAGACTCGTTGTACGGACTCTTTTCACTTGGATCAGTAGATGACCTTGTTCCACTCTTACCCATAGCTAAAACATTATCCTCACCAGTTTTAGCTTCTCTCTGCAGCAGAACAAGAAGTGTTTCTATACCACCGGATGTTATAAATACCTCTGCAAACATCTGAGCTCTTGTAGCATTCGGCTGTACAACCAACCTATACATAAGGTGTAATACCCTCGCAACCTGGAAATATCAAAAGGTTGGACAGTGTCAGACAGCACGTATTTGTCAATTTATTTGGTCATTGTCATTCTTTTCTACCTACCAACACAAAAAAGTGCAATCTGGTAGACCATTCTCTCTCGAAATGACCCACATTTCACCATGTAAACCATTATAAGATGGTTTTCCAGAAATCATATACATATTCTGACTACGTAACTGTTTTATTAGTAATAGTGCAAGCAAACTACAAACGGCGCTAAGGTGCAAGGACTGGATTGCATAACAAATTGGCAAAGTATGAATTGGCATTGAATATGAATTAACCTAAAATATTAGAAGTATAACACACTTAATTATCAGAACAAGAATATGGCATTCAAGACAAACAATACTGGAATAGGGAGTATACAAAAATTGGAAAAAGAAACTTACGGTTGGCCACTAGGTTATTATATCCAAGGTACAAAGTTTTTACTTCTCCATTTTGGTTGTTTAATGGTGATAATTGAAGGGGAAAAAAAACACTTAAGGAAACGTTACCTGATTTGGCTGTGGGCTGTCAATTATGAAACCAAGTAATCGACGGAGGTCATCAGCAGCTAAAGAAGGAGATGCTGCTCCCATTAGAAGTTCAATAATCACCAGAAGTTCGTCAATCAGAGCATTGAGTTCCCCCATTTGGCGCGTATTCCCATCAAGAGGAAAAGTGGTCTCAGAATCCTTCTCAGAAATCATCCAATAGCATCTTCGACAGCCATCTAGAAGCAGCTGAATAGCTTCGGCATTCCTCATAGCTGTTGCTTCAGTGAAAACCATATCTTGAAGGGATGACAATAGCTTCTTTTGGAGACCATAATTGCACAGGCTCCATATTTTCAAATCTAATAAAAGTGTACGAAAGAGCTGCACTTTGAGAACATGATTGATCTTCTGAGATTGGCAAAGCGAAACAATGGCAGCAACTAGTTCCTCTTCTCCTACTCCGTCATGCTTCCTGTCAAGGGATGCAAGTGAGTGTAGAAGATATCTCAGAATTCTAGCAAGAATCTCGGGTCCCTGAGTACGACACAACTCTTCATTGTTCCCAGGATGTTGAATAGCGACTGACATAATTCTAAATACAGGTGCAGCAAGTGTAACTGTGGACAAAGACAGTGGAAGATTTCCAAGACATGGCTCCAAGCTATCTTTATGCACATTGCTTACGGTCAAAGGAAGCAGGGACATGGGTCCTCCATAAGCTAAAGCCCAGAAAGACTCCACTGGCTTCATTCTCGTTGCAACATGGACTTGTCCAAGGACCTCAGCTGGTCGCCTTAGAGTGCCTTGACGAAGAAAAATATAAAAAGTAAAACAAAAAGATTTGTTCAAACGACATCAAAAATGGAAATGATTGTTTCCGATCTCCTAGCAGAAATAAAGAAGAATAAAGTTTGTACGATAATGGAGAAGAAACACAATGACGGAAGGAATTCATGAAAGGAAAAGAAAATCACTGATAGAGAGAATGAGCAAATCAAAGTACACCACAATTCAACCATGACAATTTGATAACATATAATAACGCATATCAACATTCTTGGGAATTTCACGTTTTCAATTTTAAAGAGCATTTGATCTTAAGAAAAAGGGAGTATATATATAGGCACCTGCTGCTCCAGAAAGTGAAGCATCTGGACAAAATCGCCCACTTAGCAGACAAGGGTGGTAAAGCAGGTGGGTATATCCTCCAATATCTGCATCCAAAATGCTACTCTCCTCTGCCTGATTACGTACATAGTCATTTGTAGCTAACCAAGGAAGGCCTGCCCCATTGCCAAAACAAGGCAAAACATCCCCACCTCTAGAAGCCAAACGCGCCATTCTCTCAGGACCAATTGGTTCCTTAAATATATAAACTGGTCCCATCTCTGCAAACAAAGGACATTGACGACGGCGACGTTGTAGACCAGCCATAGTAGGAGGAGGATTTGTGCCAATGCAACAGAAAGAGAGGGGTTTGGATATACGAGGAAAATCAAAAGGACGACTTTCGTACAAGGATCCATCAATATATAGCCGTAGTTCACTCTCTGCTTTCCCCAGAAGTCCCTGCTTGCAGCTATGCTCGAGACCAATAAAATACCAACATTGAGGCTTAAATGCATGAGTAAAATGCAGCGAAGACTTTCTTCCTTTCCCACTACCACTCTCAACCACCAGGAATTGAGCATGGAAATATGCTTCTATTCCCTGATTATCAGCCGACAAAAAGCTGAACAAACGTGGCATATGAGCAGTGCCCTCACCAGCAAGAGCGCTCGCAGCCGCCGCAGCTGACATTGCGGATGTTTTCCCTGACTTGGCTGCTGCGGCAGCAGCAATTGCAGCTGCCGCAGTTGCAGCATTTAATGTGTCAGCAAATGATTCAATATAGATCCATGTTGCAAATGCATAGCCATTGGTAAAGGGCCAACGACTTTCTCCGGGACCAAGTAAGCCAGAGCTTTCACCATCAAATTCAAAAGTACAAGCAGGTCCCCTTGATTCCTTTCCACTCATTGCCTTCTCCAAAGCAAGCATCAACGGACTTGACCACGCTGTTGTAACTGCGGCTTTTATAACTTGAAGCCACCTGTGTAAATCATCGACACTAAGGGAGTGCCCAGCTAAATGTTGAATACATAGTAGCAAAATAGCAGCAGCATTCCATTTCATATCAACGTCCTTGGAAATTATCTCTTCCACTGATCGCAACAAAACTCCTAATAACCCTGCCGTTGAACACATAGCTCTATTTCTCGTGCATGACCGTAAAATAACAAGCAAACCCCGAACCATACGAGTCCTCGGGGACATAAAATTAACGCTATCACCTAAACCAGGAAGCCAGGGAATAAGCTCACCAGAAACAATAGCAGCACGGGAATTTAACATGACACTAGGAGGGTTGCTATCTTCATCCTCTTCAAAACTCTCAACTCCACCCATGGTGGCAATCAGTGAATCAATAACAAGAAAAGCAGTGGCCTCTGACTCCTCTCCACAGCCAAAATTCTCAATACCACTTACAACATTCTTTAGTTTGCCTAAGCTCTCAGGCTTCCCCATGATGGCTGAATCCACAAGATGCAGTAGCTCTGGAGAAACATTTGGAACTGTGGCCTTTGGCTTGGGCTTCAGCGGGGAATGAACTGGGGAATATCCAGATTCTGGATCCAGGCTAGTTTCAGACGGGGACTGCTGCATGGAATAAGCTGCCTCTCTCTCTGGTCCAGGGCTAGAAAGTCGGTCACTTTGTACATCGTCCATAGGCATCAGATCATAGATATCCTGAGTCCCGGATAAGTAATAAGTAGCTACATCAGTGCCACCAAATGAGGAGCTCCCATAATCAGTTTTTGAAGTGCTTCCAGGTTCCTTAAGTTCACCCAGAGATTCATTGGCAGCCTTTTCCTGATCTCCCAGAGAAACTTGTTCAAAATCATCATCCTTGAAGACTCTATCAGCTGAACTAATCCCTTGCAAAGCCGTATCACCCTTAGGAATAAAACCAGAACCACCTATATCAAATGCCTCTATCCTTTTCTGCAAAGGATTAGCTATATCAGACGTATCAGTAACATCAGCTTCAGGGAGCTTTCTTTCATCATCGTCTTCCATTCTATCAACTTACAGAGAGTACAGACATTCACAGCGTTTTCTCACCCTCCACCTGTTACACAGAGTAAAAGTTCAGCTTGTGAGGAAAATGCATCTGACACTGATGAAGATGACAACTAAAGTCGACACTGTGATTGAACCAAAGAAACCTTAAATGATATACTCAGTTGGATCTACTAAAGTTGACATATACAGCATCAAAAACAAAACGAAAATCTGTGCAAATCACAGTTATCTGCTCAAGGAACTCAAAAATCTTCAGAAAACATTCAATTAGAAGATCTCTATCAGATCTCAGAGAGGATCGATTTTGAAATTCGTATGAAAAATACATTCTGCGTGTATCATCGAGTACTTTGAAAGGAAAAAATGCTTATAGAAATCAATGCCGGAAGAGAATACGCACGGATCGGCCCGGAGAGATGTTCGGAGATGATGAGCCAATGAAAGCGAATCGGAAGCAGTCCAGCAAATCTGGACGGATTCTCTATCCTCCGGCAGCGCAACGAAAGCAAAGACGGAGAATGCGTAAGATTCCAGAGGACGACGAAAGTAAAGAGAGGTGAGACGACGATCGGAGAAAGACTAGCGAAAGGAGGCGACTTGGGCGCGCGGGAGAGAGAAAGAGGAGAAGAGAGAGAGATTGTGGTTTTTTACCGATTTGGGATTTAGCAACTTCCAACACATAAAAGTCAATTAACACTAAAGTTTTCATTTAAGTATATTGTTTTTCATGTAACACAATTTTATTCCTTTTTACTACAACCAATAATGTGATTCATTTATAAATCTTTTTTATCTTTCACAAATTCATTTATAAATCTTTTTTTTTAACAAATTCATTTATAAATTTTTATCTTACTTTTAATGTCTAGACAATAATGCCAAAAAAAATATTTAATTTTCTTAACCTAAACATTAATCATGGATTCATGATACAGTATTTGTTTCCGTGGAAGCCATTGTGGTGGTTACACTTTTTTTGGTGAGAATTGTGGTGGTTACACTTAAACCAAATAACAAATCCTCTTTCTATTTTTCTTTAACATAACCATCAATCTATATTATATTGATAACTCATAGTAATTTTTTTAATTGAAAAAGTTACAATAATTTATGGGCTTTATATTTACCTAAAGATATAAGACAGGCCCAATACTAATGTGGATACCTTGACTTCTTCAAGCCTACCCATTTTATAAGAAGAAATCTTCTCCTCTGCCATGACTTGAACCCATGTGGTGGAGCTTTTAGCCTTCTAACCAAATGAGCTACTACATCAGGCTTATAAGAAGAAATCTTACTTCGAGAACAGAGCGTTTATAGATGATTTTGTTTTATTTTGATCATAGGGTACTTTTAAACAAACAGAAGAAAGTATTACAATGGATAATTAATGTTTCTTGACGGGAACGGCATGTAACGTGTTGGTCTTGTGTAATGTGATACCAAAGGTCTCGTCCATGTCCAAGTCCTCAGGATCGACACCGTTCGGAAGCTTCCAGTCAAAGAAATAAAGAAGAGAAGCAAGCATTAGAGACACTGTTTTCACAGCCAAAGGCAATCCCGGACAAATTCTCCGTCCTGCTCCAAACGGTGTAAGCTCATAATCTCTACCTCTCACATCAATCTCTTTCCCCAAAAACCTCTCTGGCTCGAACTGGCTCGGATTCTCCCATACTCTCGGGTCTCGTCCTATGGCCCACACGTTCACTAGAACCTGAGTATTTTTAAGCACTATGAACCCAAGAATCTCCACATCGGATTCGGCTTTTCGCGGGATAAGAAGCGGAGCAGGCGGATGTAACCGGAAAGTTTCCTTCACAACTGCTTGTAAATACGGCAGTTCTGAGATATCTGACGACTCTTTAACGATACCCTTTTGGCCCATCACTCGATCGATCTCAGCCTGAGCTTTCACCATCGTTTTAGGGTTTCTAAGTAACTCTGCCATTGCCCACTCTAGGGTACTAGAGCTTGTATCCGTGCCAGCTGTAAACATATCCTGGCCATATAAATCACATGTCAGTGAGCTCGACATTTCCGACCAGTATATAAATATTCATGCATGCCATTTCAACTCATAACATTTGAGTAGAATATACTACAACATGATGTTGTACAAATACGATGTGACAATGCTGTGTAGGATTTAAAAATGTCTTTCTATGATCGAAACATGTTTTCACTCATCTAACATTTGTTGGAATAATTATAAAATTTCCATATCCTGATACCAATTAATTGTCAAAATTGATTATTCCATTATCTAATAAATCATGATTAGTAAGGTAAGACTTACCAAGAGAAGATGTTCAATATCGCTAATGTTGAGTTCTGTTTCATCTCCTTTGAAATCGAGAAGGTTGTCTACGAAATCGTTGTTTGAAACATCTTTAGGGTTATTCTGCGAAGATTTTTCTGCAATCTTAGGGGGGTGTATTCGATTAAAGATTTAGGAGAATTTGGTGGAATTTAGGAAATTTTGGATTTGCAGAGATTTAAGTGAGTTTATAGGATACTTTTGGTGGAATTGTTAATCTTCATTTTAAAAAAGGAAAGATAATTTGTGATTTGGTGAGCTTTTAAAGAGATAATACATATGTGATTTGGTGAGATTTTTAGCACCAAAAATAGAAAAATTGGGATTTCCTAAAAAATTGCAGACGGTATAATCAATATCAATGAACCATTCAAAGGCTTAAAAGTAATTGGAATCACCATCAACAAGTAACATGTGCAACTAGCCAAGCTATAACAACAAGAAAACTTGCCTTGATAATTTTCTCTGGTTTGTGGTAACTTCTTAAACATGTCGTTTGAATTTCGAAAACACGTTTGACGGTGGTGGAATTCGTGATAAAGCTCAAAACAAAAACTTATGTCACTCCATCAACCTAGTTTCAAAAATCTAGTGTTATCAGCGACAAATCAAAGCTATACACAACGCAAAACGAGATTCACCTCCATGCTTGACGACACATAAACTAACTCAAAATTCTATCTGAAATTTATTAATTTCGCAAATAAAGTTCTATTATGTTATTAGCGAAGAAACAAACATCAGAACTGAAGATCAAAACCGACCTCACAACAATTTGACTTCTAATCGTCGAATAGTTTTATTCATCAATTAGAATCTCCGTTTGTGCTCCTTGAAAATTAGATTGAAGCTGCTCGAGACTTGTGAGGACAAGAAGTGAGTCACCACCACTACCAAAGAAGAGACTCTCTTTTGACTTTAGTCCTTGTACATATTTCAAGGCAAATGTGGACTTTGATTTTAGGATCTCTTATGTTATTTTTGTTCAAGGGATCGAGATCGAGGGAGATGAAGACGAGGATGAAGAGAGGAGATTGTTTCACTAGCCACATGTTTTTTTTTACTTTTTTTTTTTAATCAAATACCACCCCTAGAGGTGTGATTGTTTAATTCTTATTTTTACACTAAAAAGGTATCCAAAGTCTCACCAAATCAGTTTTCAATATTTTTTAAAAAAAGTTTTGTTAAGTTTCAATAACAGTGGATTTGATATGGGTTTTAAAAATTCATGATTGAATAACAAGAGATTTGAAATGATTTGGAATGATTTTACATAAATTCCAGTTTCAATAACATGGAATTTGAGAAGAAAATTTTAAATCACTGATTGAATAACAGGTGATTTTAACAAAAAACCAAAATTTTCCAAAATCATTGTTCCAATACACCCCCCTTAGCATCAATGAACCCACGGAAAACCCTTAACAGCCTCTCCGTGCAAACCTTCATAGTCTTCCTATTACCTTGCAGATCAAGAAACCCCAGAAATGGAAAGTAATTAGCAGCGTCTGGATTCCCGACAGCACCCATAACACTATTCACCGTGTCTTGAACCCCGTTAATAGAAGCTTTCGCGTTGTAGCTACAGAACGTTCGATATGATATTAAGAGTTGTGATGAAGGATACACGAGAAATATCAACAGATTCTTCTCTATCGCTGCTTTCACTTATGAAGCTCACAAGTTCCTTCACCTTGTTCACCCTCAATGCTTTCGTGGCTTCGATACGCTGTGGTGACATGCAGGAGCTGAGTCACCGACAGCCTTCTAAACAGCCTAAAACAGAACATAACAACGATCCATCAAGAACATTACTGTTTTAGGGGTCTTTATTATTTCCTTTTAACAAAAAGAAAAACTCTGTTGTAGCTAATCTTGTAAGAAACAAAATCGTAGGAAAATAGAAGTCGATATTAAAATTATACCTCCAACGAGCAGACGACGAAGGAAGCCAAATAAGGGAAGCATCTTGGTGATTGATGGACCGTATCGCGTTAGTGGGACTACGTCCAGACAAAATCTGGTCATGTGTTCGTAAAACCTCTCTCGCAGCTTCTGGTGAAGCTATAACCACTGTATTTAAACTTCCAAGCTTAAGACTCATGACTGGTCCATAAGTTTTCGAGAGTGCAGCGAATGAGCGATGAGGATGTTTTCCGACAAGGTGAATATTTCCGATGATCGGTAACCGTGGAGGTCCTGGAGGCAGAGCGAAGGCCCCGTGAGAGTTTCGTCCAGATCTTGTGATGGCGTGAAGACAAGAAAACATGATAACATAAAGCAAAAGAGCAGTAACAGAGCTTGCCCTGAGATTATGTCCATCTGTGTGGTCTCAAGTGATAGAAAACTATAGAAAATTATCCAAATAAATCACATCTATATATTATATATTTGTACAATAGACAAATAAAATATCTTATTGGTTTTGGTGATATTTATAATAGAGAATTTGGGGACTAGCCCGTACAATTATGTTTATTGTACATACTCGTATACACAAAAAATCAACTATTATTTATATTTACGTAAATAACATTTTGTGTCATACAAGCTTTTACATTGAAAGAGCACAAAGCGATTGGTCTATGTTTAGGACCACGCCGTAGTTGTCGTCTTTTCTTCATTCTGCTAACTAATAATGTTCCCATTACACACCAAACGACAGATCAATCCAATTCCAAACTCAATTGCGTGTTGTGTCATATTCAGGCGATCTCATCTTCTTGGAATTACTGGACACGGCGGAAGAAAGCCAATTACGAATTTCAACAAAATTCTTGTCCTTTTCTTCGAAATCTCATGCACCGCTCATTATTTCTTTTGTTGTGACGTTACTTCATTGTTGTGTTCCACACTTTTTTTTTTTCTGATGGGACCAATTCGCTAAAGAAAACCCAAACCGATGGAAAGATATTTCTGATTTAATATGAAGATGTACTGATTTAGTCAATAATTAGCTATTTAGCTACTCTCAATAGCAAGAAAAAGAGATTGTGACTTTCTAAATCCTAATATCAGGAAACACGATTTTTTTTTTCAAACAACAAAAATATGAATATTAGGAAAGTACATGATTTCCCTTCCTAATTTTTTTGTTTTTTTTTGTAGGCCCTTCCTAATTTTTTTGTTGTGTGTGTATGTATATTTAAATAAAAAAGTGGGTGTATATATTTGGGACAAATAAAAAGAAAACTAATTGTTTATGAAAATTCACTGATAGAGAGGTAAAGATTTGACAAGGAGCAATGTCAAAATGGCTCTGCCGACTCATGAGAAAATATTTGTACAACCGAGAAGAGAAGCGTTTGAGATGATTTGTTATTTAATCTGGTAATTAATTATTCGTACTCTACTTATAAGAAAAACATACTAATTAAATGGCTAATTAAGACAGCGTTTCTTGACGGGAACGGCATGTAACGGGTTGGTTTTATGCAATGTGAGACCGAAGCTCTCGTCCATATCCAAATCCTCAGAAATGACACCATTTGGAAGCTTCCAATCAAAGGAAGAAAGAAGAGAAGCAAGCATTAGAGGCACTGTTTTCACAGCCAAAGGCAATCCCGGGCAAATTCTACGTCCGGCTCCGAATGGTGTAAGCTCATAATCTCTACCTCTCACGTCGGTTTCTTTCCCCAAAAACCTTTCTGGCTCAAACCGGGACGGATTCTCCCACACATTCGGGTCTCGTCCTATGGCCCACACGTTCACCAAAACCTGAGTATCTTTAGGCACCATGAACCCGAGAACCTCCACGTCTGATTCCGCTTTTCGTGGGACTAGTAGCGGAGCAGCCGGATGTAACCGGAAAGTTTCCTTCACAACTGCTTGTAAATAGGGCAGTTCCGAGATATCAGACTCTTCAACACCACCTTTTTGACCAATCACACTGTCGATCTCAGCCTGAGCTTTTACCATTTTTTCAGGGTTTCGAAGTAACTCTGCCATTGCCCATTCCACGGTACTAGAGTTTGTGTCTGTCCCCGCTCCAAACAGGTCCTGATGCATATATATACGTATTGTTTCAATTCTTGATGATGTTCGTTTGATTTATTTTAAATGTTAATTCATAAGATTCTAACATCCTACAAAAAATAGTAAGACTTACGAAGAGAAGGTGTTCAATATCGTTAGTGTTGAGCTCTGCTTCATCTCCTTCAGTAAGATCGAGAAGCACATCCACAAAATCTCTCTCCGAGACATCTTTAGGGTTAACATTCCGCAATGATTTTTCCGCTATTTTAGCATCAATGAACCCACGGAAAACCTTAAACAATCTCTCGGAACAAGCCTTCAGAGTCTTTCTATTACCTTGCAGATCAAGGAACCCCAGAAATGGAAAGAAGTTAGCAGCGTCTGGCTTCCCTACAGATTCCATGACACCAATCACCGTGTCCTGAAACTCACTGGATTTTTTCGAGTCGTAGCTACCGAGATCTACAGAAAACAGAATGTTTGATATGATATTAAGAGCTGTGGTGAAGGTTGCACGAGAAATATCAACAGCTTCTTCTCTTTCGCTGCTTTCACTTATGAAGCTCACGAGTTCCTTCACCTTGTTCTCCCTCAACGTTTTCGTGGCTTCGAGACGCTGTGGCGAGAAGAGCTGAGTCGCCGCTAGTTTTCTCAGTAGTCTAAAAATTTAACAAAAGATTAATATCACCGCATATTAGTCAACAAAGATAATGTGAAAAAATATGATTATGTTAAATTGGATTGCGGAATTTATTTAGTGTACAACTTTGACAGAGAAAGAGCGGAATAATATTTTCTTTTCTTGTGTTGGTCACTGAATTCACATAATTACAAAATTTCTACACATCTCTTACTAATAGAGATGCCATAGAATCATGTGATTGATATACACAACAGACACACAAAAGTATTAAATAAACAAGAGTAATTGAAGCTTTTAATGAATAGTGTCAAAAGTAATTATGGCTTGAGAGATCACGGAATCATGTTGACACCTTTTCCTTAATAATATAATCAACAATTAAGAAAATTTAAACCATAGAAAATTAAAAATCGATATTATTAATAATACCTCCAACGAGGCGACGACGGTGGAAGCCAGACAACGGAAACCTCGTGGTGATTAATGAACCGTATCGAGTTAGTGGAGCTACGGTTAGAGAGGATTTGGTCGTGTGTTCTTAGAACCTCTCTTGCAGCTTCTGGTGAACTTACGACCACTGTGTTTAAACTTCCAAATTTAAGGCTCATGATTGGTCCATATGTTTTTGAGAGGTCGGCGAATGAATGGTGTGGGTTTTTGCCGACAAGGTGAATGTTTCCGATGATGGGTAGCCGCGGAGGTCCTGGAGGCGATGGAGCGACCTTGCGAGAGCTCCGGGATCTTGTTATGGTGAAGATAAGGAAAAATGATAAGATAAAGCAAAACAGGAGGAACAGATAAGCTTGTTCAAAGATGATGTCCATCATTTTTTCTCAATAGATATTTTCTTTGAAATTAATGAGTAAATTATCAAAGCATCAAAAGCCACTTAAATACGTAAAGTTATTGATTAATTACTAACTTATGGTCCAAATACATCCTACCGGCTACCGGTGACAGGGACGTTTATATTGAAACCAAGAGGCGCCAGTGCGCCACTTGTCAGTTAAAGCCGACCATCGAAGTTGTAATTAGAAGACCGACGACCAATCACAAGATATTATACGTATATCTTTTCAAATTGCATTGTGTTTCCTCTTAAGCAATTCAATCTTTGAGACGATACATACCTTTTCAAATTGTATTGTGTTTCCTCTGTTTTGACTTTAATATTATAAATTTTTACTTAAAATAGTATTTAAGAAAATCAACATAACAATTCAGTAATTTTTAGAATTTCATTCTCTTAAATTATTAATATTGACACACAATACGATTATTTAAGACGATATTGTAGGATTCTTGACGGGTACGGCACAAAGAGGTTTGGCCTTGTGTAAGGTAAGACCGAAAGCCTCGCTCATGTCTATGTTTTCAGGGACGACACCGTTTTGAAGCTTCCAGTCAAAGGAATAGAGAAGAGAGGCAAGCACAATATGCATTGTCTTAAGAGCCATCGAGATTCCCGGACACATCCTTCTTCCTGATCCAAATGGTATCAACTCGAAATCTTTGCCTTTTAAATCGGTTTCTCGTAACAAGAATCTCTCTGGCTCGAACTTCATTGGATTGTCCCACACGCTCGGGTCTCGTCCTATAGCCCATACGTTCACCAAAACCTAATCTCGAAAAACAGAGATGGGAGATTTATCATGTCGGTTCTATGTATATATCAAACCAAACAAACAATTCAAATTTAAATCGAAATTAGGTCAAAAACTATTTTTAATTGACATTTATTAATTAAATAATCTTACATAATGATTACAAAAAAAAAATCCGATATAAAAATTAAAAACTAAACCAAAATCGAACTAATTCAACTTTTTGTTGTTGTTTTTAACGAACCAAATATAGTTGGGTTCAAGATATACTAATAGTTACCCTAAACCGAACAATTCCAACTGAGTCAAACCAAAACAAACAAAAAAGCCATGTACCCAACAATAAAACTATGACTTCGTTAACGTCCATCACAAGTTACGTTACTGAATGGTAATGAATGTTGGCGTAATAAAGATAGGTATGAAATAAACCTGGGTATTCACAGGAACGAGGAAACCCAAAATCTGAACATCGGATTCCGATTTTCTAGGGATCAAAGGAGCTGCAGGATGCAAACGAAGAGTCTCTTTCACAATTGCTTGTAAGTAAGGCAGACTCTGGATATCAGATTCTTGAACGACACTGTTTTCACCAATCACTTGCCGTATCTCACTCTGAGCTTTAATCATCTTCTCCGGGCTACGGAATAACTCCGTCATTGCCCACTCCATTGTACTTGAGCTTGTATCTGTGCCAGCAACAAACACATCCTGTCACAAAAATAGGTTAACTGATGATATTTGCATCCAAATAATATCTTAATCTTACCATTGATGTGTGTGAAAGACTTACGAGAAGCAAGTGTTTGATATCATTCATCGTTAATTCTGCTTCGTTTTGCTGTGTGAGATCCAGAAGGGAGTCTAGCATGTCCCTGCTCGAAGCCTCTTTAGGCTCTGTCTCTGTCTGAGACAATCTTTTGGCTAACCGAGCATCAATGAATTCTTGGAAAACCCTAAACAATCTCTCCATGCAGAGTACGGCTTCTTTTCGGGTACCTTGCAAATCAAGAAACCTCATATACCAGAAATAGTCACCTACGTTGGGTTTACCGGAGATCTCCATCAGGCGAACCACCGTGTTGTGAAATTCGTAAGACAAGGAGTTAGAGTCATACGTCGCTAAATCTACTGAAAACAGAGCATTTGAGATGATATTGAAAGATGTGACGAAGGAAGCACGAGCCAGGTCAATAGCTTCTCCTCTCTCACGAAATTGGTTTACTAAGCTCACTAGTTCCTCCACCTTTCTCATCCTTAAAGATTGAATAGCGTCTAGGTTTAGCGGTGATAACAAATATTTCGTTAGTGTTTTCTTCAGAAACCTGAAGATGCATACATACAGAACTTTAATAGACTTGTGGCTAATCACGTCACGTGTGTATAGATTTAAAGTTTTAAACTACTCTTAAATTGAAGTTTGGTATACAGATGATATCAACACAAAGAGAGTTAAAAAGAAACGAAATGTTGATATTAGATAGAGTTAGTACCTCCAACGAGCAGAGGGAGGAATCCAGACAATGGAATGTTTATGGTGATCAAAGGCTCGAATCGGGTCGTTAAAGGTTCGAGCGGACATGACATGGTCGTGTGTTCGAAGTGCCTCTTTAGCTGCTTCTGGTGAAGATATAACCACTGCGGTTAACCTTCCAAGCTTCAAACTCATTATAGGTCCGTACGTTTTTGAAAAGGCAGCAAGTGAATGGTGAGGATTGAATCCGAGTTGGAATATGTTTCCCACTAATGGCAGTGTCGGAGGACCTGGTGGAAGCGTGCCGGTGCTAGCGCTTCTCCGCGTTTTTGCGGTGGCAAAGAAGAAAAAGAAGAATGCTAAGAGAAAATAGAGGGGCAGAGACATGCCTTGATTTAGTGAGAGGTCCATTGGACGACCAGTTTTTTTCTTTAGGTTCTACTCTCCTTGTCTAAGGAAGTTGGAGAGTGCCTACAAAATATAACTCAATCATGCATTTTATATCCATAAATTTAAGTTTTTTTTACTTATTTTATTAACAAATTTAAAGATATTATCTAAAATGGAAAAACAAGTTCTCAAAAACTGTCAATCGGTATTAGTTGCATGGTGTATATGTTTATTGTTGCTTATAACACCTACAACCTAACGTGTTCTAAAAATCTGTTTTTCTCATGCCCAATTATGGAAAGTTTGAAACTTACATACTTGCCTAAATTTCTTGCAAACATGGAATTTTTTTTTTGGTACAGACTACAGACTAATTATTACCTTTAAGAACTTAAACAAAGAGAACATAACATGTAAAAATAGTGATTTGTATTAGTTTCATTATTTGGACTCAAAACATGCAAAAAATATATGATACTAAAACTATAATGTCACATGGGAGATCAAGACACCAGCCTGCCAAATTTGTATGTACCCAGTACTGTTCATATGTTAAACCTCACATTAATTTCATTAATTACTATTAGGCAGCTTAACCATGTGTTTAGGTGTACGTTACTCTCTTTATCTACTGTTAGCTGTATTTGTTTCTGATGTTAGGTTAAGTTGCTCGATCTGGTTTGCTCTTTTAATATTTGCTAATTAACGAGTGATTTAACTCAAATTTTATCTTCTTATTATCAACTGTTAGTACTACATCTTGGATGGTCGTCGAACACTAATAAAATCTCCTAGGTATAAAAAACTATAAAACATAAAAACTTTTATTCATGTAACGGCGGGTGGAAAGTTAGGGACCACGGTGACGGGTCCCGTCAAGTGTTGGCTATAAACGTTCCGGCTAGTAAAAAGTATTTAATGATAACTATTTTTCTTTCTTTTTTTTTTGTAGTTTTCTAAAGGAGGTTAAGTAGTGGAAGTCACATGAGCATTTTTAGTAGTCATCGCTTCTTCTTCTTCCTCTTCTTCTTCTCCAATCTCCAATTTTTTTTTTAACATTAAAAGTACATCTGAATCTGCTTTTAACCTGCAAAAGGCCTTGTGTTTGACGCTTTACTTCTTTGTTTTTATATTTTCCATAGATTCCCTTATCAAGATTCCAACGATGTTACCAAAGTCAAACCACTAAGTGCAACTTTACCCCTTCTTTATTAGCCAAAAATAAAAGGTAAAACAAACCTTGTTGTTCTATTAAAACTAACAAATCACCCACTAACATCAAGTGGATTCACGAATGTTTCTCACTTGGATAGTTTCTCTAATGCTAACATTAGCTTTGACCTTTTTATTTCCCACTCAAATAAATTAAGAGATGGTGCCAGCGAGTGAAATGATTAATTTTGAACGTTAATGACGTGATCTCACTGTTTAGTTTTGCACCAGTGAACGTTACTCGTGCGTGTATTAAGGTCCAATCTTAAAATTGGGTAAAAGTAAAAACAAAACAAAACAAACCAAACAAAAACCACAATAAAGAGTCAGACCAAAGCGATAAAGGGCAAAATTGAAAAGGTCAAAATCCCATCACCCGAAAAAGCGACGTGAAAAATGCCTCCTTTTCGCTGACGTTACTAACACGTTACAATAGAAACAAATCTTTTTGTGTTTAATACAAACTTGCTGTTAGTATTTTACAAATTATACATATGATTTTACAAAATAGATGTACACTTCTTGCTACTAAATGAATAAACATTGAATAGATCAAATAACGATTAAAAACCAAAAAAATGATTAAACTGGTATAAAATTGTGCGTAACTAAATCATCAATATTCTACACGATATAATTAGATCATAGAGATATATATATAGTCGAACAACTTTTGCAGAAAATCCATTTTGTTGCAAAAAATGTCGATTAGTTATGCACATGGCTAGTCGATCGAACATATCTTATTAACCAGACATCTAGTTGGTTAAACCAATGGTCTAGTAGCTAATCATTTGATTAAGCCCGAACGACACAACAACTCACGTGTCATCTCCACGCGCTTCTTAAAAGGCGAGTGAGGTTGACTTCACCGTCACTTCCCCAGTTAAATTTCGTGGGTCCCACCGTGGACCTCTTCAGAAGGAGAAGGTTTCAAAAACTGAAAAAACAAAACCCTCGTGAATCTCACCTCAACGCGCGGCGTGTTAATCACGCTCCCTCATTAAAATCTCACGTCTCGGTGACTACTACTATCTATCTCTCACCGGTCTTCCGCTAAACGACGTGAGCAGTAATATCCGCTCACATGACTGTCACATTTCACAGTCACCATCCCCCATTTATTCTCCGACACGTCACCATTACCAATATCACTCTCCTGTCACACAAGCATATCTCTTTATTATCCTCAAAACAAAAAAAATAATAAAATAATTGAGTCCATTTTCTCTGTATTTACCTACGTGAGTGTTCAAGTAGCTGAAGAAAATTTATATTTTTTGTCAGTTAGAAACTTATCATCATGTCACCTTCTTCTTCTTCAATGGAAACTCTGGTTTTAATGACACTTCTTTAACTCTCTTTATTTACTAAAATGCCATCTCGCCAGCCGGATTTTCCGCCGACGCCGACGGTTAGTGAAGGCCACCACAGTTTTCAGACTCTTCCACTTATCATCGCCGGTTCTTTGACTTTAACCGGAGTGTTACTCATCCTCTTCACTTTACTTATTTACCGGAGACTCTATCGAAACCGTACGGCTCCTTCAGATCTTATCTCCAACTCTAAGTCTCCACAACACTACCAATGTCGACGCTTCTCTTACTCTCAGCTCCGCCGCGCTACAAACTCTTTCTCCGAGTCGACTCAGCTCGGTCACGGCGGATTCGGCTCTGTTTACAAAGCTGATTTCCCCAGTGGCGGTGACTCTCTCGCCGTCAAAGTCATGGATACCTCCGCTGGTTCTTTACAAGGCGAGCGTGAGTTTCACAATGAGCTTTCTCTCTCTTCTCACTTAATCGGATCTCCTCATGTCGTCTCTCTCCTTGGATTCTCCTCCGATCGTCGTGGTCGGAAGCTTATTCTCGTCTACGAGCTTATGGCGAATCGTAGTTTACAAGACGCGCTTTTGGATCGCAAATGTGAGGAGCTTATGGATTGGAACAAAAGGTTTGAGATTGCGACGGATATCGCTAAAGGAATCGAGTTTCTTCACCATTGTTGTGATCCAGTTATCATCCATGGAGATATTAAACCTAGTAATATCCTTCTCGATTCTGATTTCAAGGCCAAAATCGGAGATTTCGGTCTCGCGAGAGTAAAGTCCGAGGATTTAGATACTAGGATTCTGATTGAGGAAGAAGATAAGAGCAAGGATGTTGTTGAAGATAATGGGTCGATTCTTGAAGAGACTGAAAGCGTGATTACTGTGTTTGAAGAAGGTAATAATGTTGTCAATCTCTCGCCGGAGAATTGTGGGATTAGTGTCTTGACGGAGACGGTGGCGTCTCCGGGTGAAAAATCTGGACTTTCGCCTGAGAATTGTGCAGTTAGCGTTTTGATGGTGGAGGTTGGAGCAACATCTCCGGGGATGACATCGATACCGTCGCCGGAAACTTGTGCGATTAGCGTCTTGACGGAGACTGGATTGTCACCGGGAGGGGCATCAGGATTATCGCCGGAGAGTAGTAAGATTAAAGTGGGATCGAAGAGAGATTGGTGGTGGAAACAGGACAACAATGGTGGAAGCAGAGGAGGGATTGAATCAGGGAGTGTGAAGGATTACGTGATGGAATGGATTGGGAGTGAGATTAAGAAAGAGAGACCTAACGAAAATAAGGAATGGATCAATAATGGTGATGGGTCATCATCAGTCTCTAAGAAGAAGAAGAAAGAGAAGAAGAGAAAGCCTAGAGAATGGTGGAAGGAAGAGTTTTGTGAAGAGCTAACGAGAAAGAAGAGGAAAAAGAAAAAGAAGAAGAAAAGAGGGTTAAGCTCAATTTCAAGCATTGACTCTTGGTTTCATAGAGACGATGATGCTTCCTCTGTTCATGACCACAATCTTAACCCTACCAAGAGGAAGAAGAGGAATAGTATAGATTGGTGGGTAGATGGGTTAAGTGGGGAGCTAAAGTCAGCCATGGGTAAGAAAAACAGTCAAGATTCTGGTCTGTGGTGTGATGTGAATGTTCAGAAGAGTGGTGGAGTCAGCAGCACACCGAGTATGAGAGGTACGGTGTGTTACATTGCACCAGAATGTGGAGGAGGAGGTGTGTTGTCTGAGAAATGCGATGTTTATAGTTTTGGGGTTCTGCTTTTGGTCCTTGTCTCAGGAAGACGGCCATTGCAGGTGACTGCATCACCGATGTCGGAGTTTGAGAGGGCTAATTTGATATCATGGGCTAAGCAATTGGCTTGCAATGGTAAATTGTTGGAGTTAGTTGATAAATCTATACACTCTTTGGAGAAAGAGCAAGCGGTTCTTTGTATTACTATTGCATTGCTTTGTCTGCAAAGATCTCCAGTTAAGAGACCGACAATGAAGGAGATTGTTCAGATGCTTTCGGGTGCGTCTGAGCCACCGCATTTGCCGTTTGAGTTCTCACCGTCGCCGCCTATGGGTTTTCCGTTTAAGTCAAGGAAGAAAGCACGGTGAAATTCGGGTTTGGTTTTGAGCTCAGTCATCAAGTGTAGACTTACTCTAAACCAATTGCGACTTGTTGGAAACCGTTTGATTCCATAAGATTAGCTTTTTGCAAATATTTAATCTTAAATGTTTAACATTTTAGTTTAGACAATAAAGAATTTCCAATTGACATCAAGTAGTCAAGTAGATTAGATGATCATGATTAGAGTTTAAATGCCTGTTTTTTTTTTTTTTTTTTTGCTGAAATCTATGCACAAAAACTAAATGGGCCCAGGTTTAAAAAATGTTTGCCATCCCTGTCTCCCGCTGTATGAATAAATGGGTATGGGGCAAGTTTACCTTTTTTTTTGTATTGTTTCTCTTAATGCTCTTAACCAAATTGGTACTCCTTTCACATGAATCACGGTTATGACTTTAGGAGACAGACTATGCTTGTGCAAGTGTTCCCATGGTTTCAATTCAGAAATCGAAAGGCATTCGTCTGAAAATTCTAGTTGTAACCAAACAATCAAACCTGCTATATGTCAAAGCGGTCAGCTGCCTATAATGGGCCGGCCTGATGATTAAACTGCCTATGATGGGCCGATATCATGAGTTAGCCTAGGTTCATACATACACTTTGTTAATGCACATCAATTTCTTGGTCGATCATTATGGTATACAAATGTATTAGCCGTTATATTAGGTTTTACTCTACAATTGATGTCAATCTAATTGTTAGTACAGTCTATTAATGGAGAGATATTTGCAAATTTCACACGATTCTTTAGGCAAATCCAACTGCAACTTTGAATGAAAAGTCCCAATCTTTAATGAGAACGTTGATCTTTTCAACCTCTAAAATCCTTAATTTCTCAATTCTTCTTCATAAACACACAGTTTCACCACACAACCATATCTAATTCTCTGAAGCATCCATGGAAGCTCCTCCACCTTCCAGCGACCCATACAAGTTCCTCAACATTACACTTAACTCAGATGGATCTCTCACTAGACACCGTGAGTTCCCCAAATTGCCCCCAACGGAACAATCCAAAGACATCCCATTAAACCAAACCAACAATACCTTTATCCGAATCTTCAAGCCCCGGAATATTCCGCCGGAATCAAAACTCCCGATCCTCGTTTACTTCCACGGCGGCGGGTTTATCCTCTACAGCGCCGCTTCAGCTCCTTTCCATGAATCTTGCACCAAAATGGCTGATCGTCTTCAAACCATAATCCTCTCCGTTGAATACCGTCTAGCTCCCGAACACCGTCTCCCGGCGGCGTACGAAGACGCCGTCGAAGCAGTCTTATGGCTCCGTGATCAAGCTCGTGGCGCAATCAACGGTGGTGATTGCGACACGTGGTTAAAAGACGGTGTCGATTTCTCGAAATGCTTCGTAATGGGTTCGAGCTCCGGAGGAAATATTGTCTACAACGTCGCGTTGCGTGTGGTGGACACAGATCTCACTCCTGTTAAGATCCAAGGGCTGATAATGAACCAAGCTTTCTTCGGTGGCGTTGAACCGTCGGATTCTGAGTCACGGCTTAAAGACGATAAGATCTGTCCGTTACCAGCTACTCACTTGTTATGGTCGCTTTGTTTACCGGACGGTGTAGATCGTGACCACGTGTACAGCAATCCGATTAAGAGCAGTGGGCCCCAGGAAAATGAGAAAATGGGACGTTTTCCGTCGACTCTTATTAACGGTTACGGTGGAGATCCGTTAGTGGATCGTCAGAGACAAGTGGCGGAGATGCTTAAGGCACGTGGAGTGCACGTGGAGACGAGGTTTGATAAAGATGGGTTTCATGCTTGTGAGTTGTTTGATGGGAACAAAGCTAAGGCCTTGTACGAAACCGTTGAGGCCTTTATGAAGAGTTGTTCATCAACTGGCCCATCCCCCAACATGTAGCAATCCGATCTAATCATGTCTTACAAACTATCTAGCTAATAATTAAATTTATGCAATTTCGTTGTTTTAAGTCACGTATGATAATGAAAAAAAAAAAAAAAAGTCACGTATGATATGTGTGGTTTCAATGGAAAAATGTATACCCATTGAATAAATATAGTGGACGTATTTAATCTATTTACTAAATTTTTAAAAAGAGAGTCGGACGTTCTAATGTTGTGTAATGCCTAAACCATCTAGAATCGGTGAGTTAAGTTTTATGAACATGTCAAATTATGATTTCTACCAACGAAAAGATAGATTTTAATAGGTGAACGTACTATCATATCATAATTTGTTTACATAATTCTTTTGGATATTGCATTAAGAACATTGTTGAATGTGCAGCTCATGCAACTATAATTTTATAAATATAAAGATTAGATTGGCGAAAATTAAAATTCTTACGGTGCTTAGGAAGTTGATACAAATTTTATATAGATATACACCTATATATGCCTAATAATTTCATCTAATTTAGTTTGTATTTTGTAGGGATTTACACATTCAAATACACAAGCAAATGTAGAACATTATTCCTAATTTAAGACAAAATATAAAAACATTCTTAAATTGGTCAATATCGTTAAACTGCGTTAAATCATGACCACAAATAATCCGTGTATTCATCCTAATCCCAACCTAAGCGCCATTAAACGTAAAACAGCAATACACATGCACAACCAAAAAAGAAAAGAAAGAAGAAAAAAATCTAAACATTTCTTCTTAGTCAAAGGTAACCTCCTTTCAATCACTCAATTAATAATTAAACCATGTCACGTGACTCTCGTCCGGCATTTGATCCATACAAACACCTCAACATAACAATCAACCCCAACGGCTCTTGCACGCGCCACTTCATTTGGCCGATGGTTGATCCCGACCCGGATCCATGCCCCGGCAAGCTCGCCGCTTCCAAAGACGTAACCATTAACCACGAAACCGGCGTGTCCGTACGTATTTTCCGACCAACTAATCTACCATCCAACGATAACGCCGTCGCTCGTCTCCCAATTATCATCCATCTCCACGGCTCCGGTTGGATCCTTTACCCAGCCAATTCCGTTGCGAACAACCGTTGCTGCTCTCAAATGGCCAGTGAGTTAACGGTTATTGTTGTCTCCGTACACTACCGTTTACCTCCTGAACATAGACTCCCAGCTCAATACGACGACGCATTAGATGCTCTGCTTTGGGTCAAACAGCAAGTCGTTGACTCAACTAACGGCGAGCCTTGGCTTAGAGACTACGCCGATTTCTCACGGTGTTATATCTGCGGTTCGAGTAACGGCGCTAACATCGCTTTCCAATTGGCACTGAGATCGTTAGACCACGATTTGACGCCGTTAAAAATAGACGGTTGCGTGTTTTACCAACCGCTTTTTGGCGGTAAAACGAGGACGAAATCGGAGCTCAAGAATTTCGCCGACCCGGTAATGCCGGTGCCGGCGGTTGACGCCATGTGGGAACTATCTTTGCCGGTAGGTGTTGATCGGGATCATAGGTACTGTAATCCGTTGGGTTATTTGCCGCAAAAGGAGAAAGTTGGACGACTTGGACGGTGTTTAGTGATCGGTTACGGCGGAGACACGTCGTTGGATCGGCAACAAGATTTCGTGAATTTGTTGGTTGCGGCTGGAGTTAGGGTTGAAGCAAGGTTTGACGACGCCGGTTTCCATAGCATCGAGCTCGTCGATCCACGGCGAGCCGTCGCTCTTCTTAATATGATCAGAGATTTTATCAGTTAATTATTCTTTTCAAGTTTTCATCTAATCATTCTTTTAAACATTATTTTTCTCAATTTCTTTCTTTATATACATTCAACAATTACATAGAACATTGTTACTACAAGTCTACATATAACATCGTTACTTTTTTTTTGATAAAATGTTAACATTGTTACTTCATATATATATTGTATTGATTTCTACTTCTACCGATTGTAAAATTGAATACATCAAAACATTGTCATATTTAAAATATATTAATGAAAAGGAAAAAAGACCGAAAAGTTCATGGTTTTACAAAATATTTTATGAATTGCACAATCATATGAAATCATGACCATGTTTTGGGTTCCAGTGTAGGCACTAGACACTGTCTAAAGAGACCATGAGCTTTAGTTATCAAAAGAAACCTTAATATTCTTCGACTTCTATATAGTTGTCCAAGAAATGACCAAGTGGTAAAGTGATTTTGTATGATTTTACTAATCACAAATTTTTACTATTCCACAATTCCCTTATTTAACAAATTTACTAATTGAAATCAAAACCTAGTTCAATTTTAAGTCCAACTTGTGATCGATCACCTTTAAAAAATCCCAAGATCGGACGGTCAGGATATTATGTGTGAGGCTGCATCCTTTAAAATATATAAATTAAAAAAAAAAACCACACACACGAGATCCGTTAAACCTTGAAGAAAGAAAGATCTCGGTGGTGGTCATTCAACATTGAAAGATCTTCGACTTGCCAAAGTGTTTCACTTTCGCTCTAAAACTTCTTCTTCACTTCCTCTCCTCCTCCATGGCGGACGGTGGGGCTGACCCCCCAGCTCCACCATCGATTAACGCCGGTGAATTTCTGTTGTCTATTTTGCACGGAAGTCCTTCGCCGTCGTCACAAGGTACTCAGCATCAGTCATTCGCTCTCGATCCAGCCATCGCAGCCATTGGTCCTACCGTGAATAATCCTTTTCCTCCTCCGAATTGGCAATCTAACGGTCATCGACCCGGTAATCATAATCCTTCTTGGCCACTCGCCTTTTCACCTCCTCCTAATCTTTCCCCCAATTTCCTAGGGTTTCCTCAATTCCCGCTTAACCCTTTTCCTACGAACCAATTCGACGGTAATCAAAGACTATCTCCGGAAGATGCTTTTAGATTAGGGTTTCCTGGTACTGCAAACCACGCAATTCAGTCCATGGTACAGCAACAACAACAGCAGGTACCGCCGCCGCAATCTGAGAATCGGAAGCTTGTTTTTGGTTCTTTCTCGGGAGATGCTACTCAAAGCCTTAATGGGTTACATAACGGGAACTTGAAGTACGATTCTAATCAACACGAACAGCTCATGAGGCATCCCCAATCTACTCTCTCGAATTCTAACATGGATCCAAACCTCCATGAACCCAGAGGAAGTCACAGCGGAAGAGGAAACTGGGGTCATATTGGGAATAACGGCAGGGGTTTCAAGTCTACTCCTCCTCCTCCTGGATTTTCGAGTAACCAAAGAGGAAGGGATATAAATTTAACAAGTAAGGATGATGATAGAGGGATGGGTAGTTTCCATAGGAATCATGATCAAGCAATGGGTGAGCATTCTAAGTTTTGGGATCAAAGTGTTAATTTTTCTGCTGAGGCTGATAGATTAAGGGGATTATCAATCCAGAATGATAGCAAGTTCAATCTTAGTCAACAAATAGATCATCCTGGACTACCTAAGGGTACAAGTCTTCATTCTGTATCAGCAGCTGATGCTGCGGATTCCTTTTCGATGTTGAACAAGGAAGCTCGTGGTGTAAGTGAACGTAAAGAGGAATTGGGGCAGCTCAGTAAGGGAAAGAGGGAAGGCAATGCAAACTCTGGCCCTGGTGATGACGAGATTGTGGATTTTGGAGAAGATATTGTTAAGTCTTTATTGCTTGAAGATGAAACTGGCGATAAGGACGCCAAAGATGGGAAGAAGGATAGCAAGACTTCTCGCGACAAGGTACGTTTCAGTTTTTGTGTAAGCTTGTAATATAGGATATACCTAAAATCAACAGTTTTAATATACTACTAATGACTTGTGGGAACATTCAGTGATGGTGTTTAGCTTGTGTAGTCAATTCCCGAACTAGAAAGGATGCTTTTTTAGGTTGTAAAGATTGATTAATCGGGGTTTTGTTATCAGGAATCGAGAATGGACAATCGGGGTCAACGGCTGCTTGGCCAAAAGGCAAGAATGGTTAAAATGTATATGGCATGTCGAAATGACATCCACAGGTATGATGCTTCATTCATTGCAGTCTACAAGTCCCTGATTCCCGCAGAAGAAGAGCTGGAGAAGCAGAGACAACTAATGGCACATCTAGAGAATCTAGTTGCCAAAGAATGGCCTCATGCAAAGTTGTATCTTTACGGGTCCTGTGCTAACTCTTTTGGTTTTCCGAAGAGCGACATCGATGTTTGCCTTGCAATCGAAGGTGATGATATCAACAAATCTGAGATGTTGTTAAAGCTGGCGGAGATCTTGGAATCAGATAATCTCCAAAATGTTCAGGTAAGTAAATGCTTATACTTATATAAACACGTTGATTTGGTACTTGATACGCTTTTCTGGCTTTGAATCTGGTGCCTATATTTTCTGAAACATTGTTTTTTGTGTAGGCACTAACACGAGCTAGGGTTCCAATTGTAAAACTTATGGATCCGGTTACTGGGATATCTTGTGATATCTGCATCAACAATGTATTGGCTGTTGTGAACACAAAGCTTTTGCGAGATTATGCGCAGATAGATGTGCGTTTAAGGCAGTTGGCTTTCATTGTGAAACATTGGGCAAAGTCAAGAAGGGTTAATGAAACATATCAAGGAACACTTTCCAGCTACGCGTAAGTTCCCCTCCACACTTTTAATTGAAGTTAGTTTCATTTGCACATAACAATCATTACTTATATTTGATATTTTGCAGGTACGTTCTGATGTGCATCCATTTCTTGCAGCAGCGTAGGCCGCCAATTCTTCCTTGCTTACAGGTGTGTATAATAATATCTCCCTTATATCGTGTACTGAATGCTCTTCTTTTATTGAAGTTATTACTTGATGCAGGAAATGGAGCCGACTTACTCAGTTCGGGTAGATAATATCCGGTGCGCATACTTTGATAATGTTGATAGACTCCATAACTTCGGATCAAGTAACAGGGAGACCATAGCTGAGCTGGTGTGGGGATTCTTCAACTACTGGGCTTACGCTCATGACTATGCGTATAATGTTGTATCCGTCCGCACCGGTTCAATACTTGGGTAAACTAAAAACTCAACTATACTTACTGTAACATGTGTGAAGCAACAATCTCAGAGATGAAACATGAATGTGTGTGTTGCAGGAAGCGAGAGAAGGACTGGACGAGAAGGGTGGGGAACGATAGGCACTTGATATGCATAGAGGATCCGTTTGAGACGAGCCATGATCTGGGTCGGGTGGTAGACAAGTTTAGTATCCGAGTGTTGAGGGAAGAGTTTGAACGAGCTGCAAGGATTATGCATCAAGAGCCTAACCCATGTGCCAAGCTTTTCGAACCATATATTCCTGGAGATAATAATGGACAAGGCCACAACTAAACCTTGAAAGCATTTGAATCGGATTCGTGTGGCTTGTATATATTTATGTATGGGTAGAAGATTCCGGCTCTGTTCTTTTTGCTTTTTGGTTTGATTTGGAATCTTGCTTGTGACCCAACAAAAAAAAAAGGTCTTAGTTTTGAAGATTTTTATATGATCGTGATGGGTGGATCAAACGTGTCGTGTATTGTGTGACCAGAAAGAAAAAAATGTTGGAACAAAAATGAAAAACGTGAAATAATTTTGATAATAATGCAACACAGACCGGTCTCGCGCCAAGAAACGATGACGACGAGCTCCTCAATTTTGTCCACCACCGAGAATCTTCCACGTGTCCTCATCGTCAAACCTCCCGCCGCCATGGCTGTGTTGGGCGACAGATTCGTGGCATCCACCAAGTTTGAGATCTTGAAAGCCTTCGAGTCTCCGCTTCCTCTCCCCGAATTCTTGGCCAATCACTCCAACTCCGTCTCCGCCGTTATAGCCCCTCTAGCTGCTCCCGTCACAGCCGATCTGATTCGCCTCCTCCCGAATCTTCGCTTGGTTGTTACTACCAGCGCCGGTGTTGACCACGTTGACTTATTTGAGTGTCGTCGTCGAGGCATCTCCGTCGCCAACGCAGGCTCAAGCTTCTCAGAAGATGTCGCAGATACTGCCGTCGGTTTACTCATCGACGTTTTCCGGCGCATCTCCGCCGCCAATCGGTTCGTTAAGCAACGGTTTTGGCCACTCAAAGGGGATTATCCCCTCGGTTCCAAGGTTTGCAACATAACTTGTGAAAATCAAATTAGCAAATTTGTTATAATTTGTGGATTTAACTTGCAGTTGGGGAGAAAGCGAATCGGAATCGTGGGACTAGGAAGCATTGGCTCGAAGGTAGCTACAAGGCTCGAAGCCTTTGGTTGCCAAATTTCATATTGCTCAAGAAACCAAAAACCATATGATGTTCCATATCATTATTACATGGATATAGAGGAGATGGCAGCTAACAGTGATGCACTCATAATCTGTTGTGAATTGAATGAGAAGACAGTGCATTTGATTAATAAAGATGTTCTTTCTGCTCTGGGAAAGCAAGGAGTGATCGTTAACGTCGCTCGTGGGGCTATAATCGATGAGGAAGAATTGGTGAGATGCTTGAGAGAAGGTGAGATTGGTGGTGCTGGTTTGGATGTTTTTGAAGATGAGCCTAATGTTCCAAAGGAGCTTTTTGAATTGGATAATGTTGTTTTCTCTCCACATTGTTCTTTAATGACATTGGAAGGTCTTGAAGAACTTGGGAAACTTGTAGTAGCGAATAATGATGGTCATCGTCAAGGTTGAGCTGGGAAAGTTTGAGTCGTTTTTGTTTTTTTTTCATTTGGTAATTTTTGCTTTTATTTTTTATTTTTACTCTTTCAAGACTGGCAGTTGTGTGTCATTTGAGTGATCGAATTATTGTTGTGTTTTAGTGTTTCCCTAAGCGATATTTCTTTAAAGTGTTTCGACTAGCAATCGTTCGGAATTTGATTGTTTATTATTATTTGAGCAATCGTTATGTATTTTTAGTGTTTCAGAAGTTTTAGTGTATTAATTTGACTTTTTTTTTGTTTTTTTTTTCCCTTTAAGTTTCTACTAGCGACCGTTCGGATTTTGTATTATTTTGAGTTTTGTCGTTTTTATATATTTTAGAGTGTTGTTTCGCAATCGCGTAGACTTTTAACATTATATTGTTTTCGTTCATTTAGATTTTTAAAGTGTTTCGATTAGCTATCGTTCAGATTTTTGGCTTAGATTTGTCGTTTAATATTTTGTATTTTCTCCGTTTAATATGTCGTTTAATATTGAGTAGTGGCTCTGTTTTAAAGGTTTGCACATGTTTTAAAACTGTGAGAATAAAACTGGAATTTTTACAAAATATCTGCATTACGTTCGAATTTTGACGTTTTAATACTCCTCGACTTTGGCATAGCATTTGACGTTTATTCATTTCGAGTGCTTCGACTACGTTTGAGTTTTTGAGATTTCGTATCCTTCCATATTTTTTTTGCGTTAATTATTTACTGTTTCGCCTTGTTGCTTCGCTTTTGACTTTGGCGTTTGTGTTAGTTTTGTATGCTTAGCGATTGTTTCCTTGATCTCCCGTTCTACGCTCACACATTTATGCTTATTCATTCATCTACCCATATTCATACATCTATGTTTATATACATCTATGCCTATACATACATCTATCTATGCCTATTCATACATCTACGCCTATTCATACATCTATGTCTATTCATACATCTATGCCTATTCATACATCTATGCCTATACATATGCACACCTAACACATCACTCATACCCTACACATACATTACACATCCATGTATCTTTATCAGGAAAGAAAAAAAGAAATTACATCTATGATCTATACATAAATGCACAAATCTAGTCAACTTTTCAACAAAGGCTGGCAAAGCTTGATGGAAACACGCTGGATAGAGTTGCAAAATCAATAAACACGATTGATTTTGTTTCCCTTCTTCATCAACCTCTGCAAAATTAATTAACCAAAATCAATCTTCATTACAATCCGTTTTTTCCGTTTGTTAATTTTGTACATGCATATATTATTTACATAAAAATCATAAGCATTTTGAAGTCAATCCATTCTTTCTTTGTTTTTTATGAAAAAACAAAAAAACCTAATTCTATGTTTTCTTTTTGACAGAACATACATATATTAGACTAAAATTGTTCAGTTTATGAATGATACAAATATAAGCTAAAAATCAGTTTATTGTCCACATCGTTGAAGTTAAGCCAGCAATATATTCACATTTTAAATGGATTTAAAACAGAGCATTTGAATTTAATGTTCAGTTCCATAAAAGATGATTAAAAGATGAAGAACATGTAAACAAACTAACAAGAACCATTCAAAGGTAAACAAACTAGAGGAATTAGACAAGAGTATTTTTACCTTGTAAGAGATGATGCTTTATGTTTGTTTGAGAGAAGCCTATCATCTGATTTGACCGGAGAAAGGAACTCGACCATGGTTGGACTCAAGTGGAAAAACAGAAGTACAGAACCAAGAGAGAAAAACAGATTGTACTCAACAATTGTAAAATATAAACCAGTTAAGAGGATTCAGATTTCTGACCCAAGAAAGGAGTATTTATAGAGAGTCATTATCTGAATGTTTGTAATAAAATATTATACTTCCAACGGTAAGAAAATGTTACCGTTTCAACGTTTAAATTTATCCTATCCTCAAGTCAAATCAAACATAACGTTGGAACAATATAGGGAATCGTAAACGCAACGTTCATATTTTTAAGCATTATATCTTTATTTTTAAGAATTTTTGTATAATTAGAATTATATCTTTATTTTTAAGCAATTTTTTGTCTTCCATTGCTCACTCTTTTATGTTTATCACTCAGTCTTGATAATTAATGTTGTCTAAATTCAGCTTCTTTTTTTCACTTCTCCGATTTCTTTCTTCAGCAACTTCTCCTATGTGAAGTACGAGTACTAATTCTACTAATAAAAAGTAAATTCGGTTGAAATCTTAATTTGACACATATATAAGTAGTAGTATATTTTAAACCTTTTTTCTATATAAAACGGCTGAGTTCTTCCATTTTTTTTTTGGGTTCTTTAGGACAGAAAACCCTTTAAACAAAAAAAAAGCAGGATATTATACTAAACCATTAGACATTAGTGCATAGACCAGATCCAAAAATACATAACATGTCTAAACGAAGTTTGAGATGGTACAACCATGAAATGTGTTCTTCTTCCATTGTGCACGCAGCTAAATCCCACTTAACGAAACAGAAACTTCCTAGTAAATTGCCACATCCAGATAATCTCCAATCTGCAGATAGGTTGATCAACTGCAGTTATAGCTACTTGTTTTGAAAAATAAGGTTATATACTATATATCATCTACAATATGGATCTTCTGTGTGTTTAACGTACCTCAAACCTAAGGTCGGAAAGCGTTTTACTGTCATCTGGTTGTTTTCGGTTCGGATAAGACATAGTCTGCCCAACCTTTATCAATTAAAAAAAAAAACAACCACAAGATCAGACTCTTCTCATGGGTTCTTGAATACATATGCAAACATCACAGAGAAAACAAGTAAAAGCCATAACAATTGAATCTGAAAGCAACCATTCAATCAAATTAATACATTCTGTAGTGACTAGCTATAACGATGTGGTCTCTCAAGTTTCAAAAATCAATAACCATGGGAAGATGAGTTGTCAGTCAATAAGCAGAAGACATGTTCAAGATATTATAGAAACATAGTTGATAAAACTCTGAATGATTGGTAGCTAAATGTGTGACTAAGAGATGTGGCAGAGAAACACAGAAACTCTAGAATGTATCAATGATCATGTGTGGCTATGTGATATCCTATCAAGATTATGAAGAAACGTAATCTTACTTACCTCTCTCACACTAAAGCGACCCTGCTTGTCAGGATAAACAAACGCAAAAGACAATCTTGCATTCCTTCTCCTAGCTGCCACAGAAACTTCTTTCACCTGCAATGAAAACGTGATTTTACTTTGTGCTTATGAGAAACATCCCCAAAATGTGAACTTTAATCAGCACTAAGCTTTAATCTGAAATCTGTCATATTTATAAAAAAACTAGACTAAAAAAGTTCTCAAAGGAAGCTGCTGTTGTCTCGAGTACGGAGCACCCAATCTAAAACTTAATGGCACAAGACATAGATACATACCAAATCAGTTAACTCGCGAAGAGTGGCATCTTTCCAAGTGTAGATTTGAACTTCATCTTTTGGTTCTTTGCCTCTCACAGCATAATCTTCATTAGTATGATGACCACCACTCTGCAATCAAAACTACCAATTAATCCCAAATTGCAATCTAATTCAGAAGAAAACACACATCGCCAATTCTCGAGAGTGCCCAGTGATTAACTATGTCATTGATGAAGCGTACCTTGGTGAAAACACGAAGAAGTAGGGGACATGTCTGCGATTCGAAGGTTGGAGATAAAGAAATCATCAGTGAGTGCAGATTAAAACCCTAAAAAGAAAACCCTAGAAAGATGTTTCAACGATTCGAGAATATGAAATCGAACACAAACCTTTTCACGATCGACAGGTTCAGCTTTAGGGCGAGGAGGTTGGTTAACGCCTCTCGGAGGTGGCGGTAATGGTCTCCCACCACCTTGTCTTCTCGCTGCTTCAGCCATCTTTCTCTTTTTCTCTCTCTCGAGAAATCTCTATGACGAAGAAGAAGGTAATGTCACAGTCTCACATAGATTGATCGGACCGCTTTAGGCCCATAGTTATTCAACCTAATGGGCCTTTTGTACAAATATTGGGCCTTACTCGTTTATAGATTTCGTCGTCAATGGTCCTTTTACAAGATTTTGAAATGAGAAATTTTTTTTCCGGATGATTTAAAAGGGACAATTATGGTTCGTTGGCAATTTTAAAATTTTAACTAAAATAGAGATATTGGTGCACAAAAAAAAAAAAAAAAAAAAAAAACTAAAATAGAGATATATGTAAAGTGTATTAAATTTTCTTCTTTGTTTTATTTTTTTTATTTTTGATATACAGCCGTTAATGCTATATTTGAAACACACATTTGAAGATCATTGACTCAAAAATGAGATTAAAAAAGAGAGAAAACATAGCAATCCATATTCAATGCATAGTGACTTCAAGTGGCCTACTAGGATTCCATTAAAAAAATGATATGCTGTTCTTTGCCTATTCCTTTTGCTTCATTCTTGTTATAGTAAACTGGTAAACGAAATTAAGAAGGAGAGAAATTATGGAAAAGAAGAAAATGGGGTCATTGAATGTTTTGATATGTCAAGAGGGTAACATTTTCAGACGATAAGGCGCAATGACCCCACACCTCACATGAAGCTGCAGTGCCATTTCCAAAAGAGTGTGTGGATATTAATTTGAACAAAGAAACATTGGTGAGGAAATTTTATAAAAGAGAAAATTAAAAAAAAAAAAGGAAAGATTACTACAAAGTGAAAAGTATGAAATTATGAAGACTACCCGATCTTCTTTGCTTGCCTTTCCGTATTTGGCATGCCCCTAACCACCACCACCACAACCTCTTCCCTTCACTTTGTAAATAAACAAATACTCACTAAATTAGCTGTGAATTGTACAAAGTCATTTCCATGGCTTGGCTTGTTTTAAAAAAAGGAAATACTAAATAGTAGAGTACTATACAAAGTCATTTCCATGGCTTGTTTTGTCCACCATGTTCTATGAAACTTGTCCAAACATAAAAAGGTTTTATATCATCAAACGTACGACTTTCCTTTGTTATTTTCTTAAGGATTAGACACAACGAGAATA